GTACAGCGCACACCTCTTGCTGTTGACCACAGACTCACTGGACCCTTTCCTGACGAGCCGTTCGAGCCTAGTGGTCCCTACGCAGAGCTTGTGGGTTGCCTCATGTACCTGATGACTTGTACTCGCCCGGACCTCGCCTTCCCTCTCAGCGTTCTTGCGCGCTTTGTTGCGCCAGGGAGACACCGTCCTGTTCACTGGACAGCAGCTGTGAGGGTGGCGAAGTACCTAGCGACGACATCAGGCGTGGGGCTAGTTCTTGGAGGACAGCAGTCTGTCGTACTTACTGGTCACTGTGACTCCTCTTACGCTGACGACGCTGAGACTCACAGGTCTACTCAGGGGTACTGTTTCAGCCTGGGTTCTGGAGCTGTTTCCTGGCGGTCCACGCGCTCCTCTTCGGTCTCGACCTCTACAGCTGAGGCTGAGATCTACGCTGGTGCCATGGCGGCACAGGAGCTGCGTTGGTTGACCTTCTTGCTCACCGACCTTGGTGAGCGGCCGAGCTCTGCACCGACCTTGTTCACTGACAACAAGGCGTCTATTCTCCTTTGTCGAGAGCCACGACTGGAGAGCAGAGTGAAGCACATTCACGTCAGGTACTTTCTTCTGCGAGAGTTGCAGAGGCGTGGACAGGCTCGCTTTGAGTTTGTGGAGTCAGAGGCCAACACTGCAGACATCTTCACCAAGGCGCTTCCGCCTTGTGACCACCAGAGGTGCTGTGTGCAGTTAGGCCTTGTTGACACTGGTTCTCGTGTTGCTTAGACTTGAGTGTACTGTTTACTTTGCTTTCTATATATCTCTGTTACTTCTTGGACTGGCCTTGTGGCCACTGTTGTTTGTGCTCAGACTGTGTGGTGACGTTGTGATCCACCCTGAGCTTCGTTTCTTGGACTGGTCTTGTGACCGTACTCGTTTGGTTCTGCTAGACACCCCTCACTTAGGCTATGGGGGTGTGTCAAATGTTGTAGCCTATAGTGAGGTTTGTCTTAGGGGGTACAAAACTTAGGGTTAGCTATATGTACCCCAACCAACATCAATGCATCATCCATTCTTCATTTTGACAAAAACACCGATGACCAGATATGGGAATGGAAGTCAGATATGAACCCAGGACCAGCTTGGAAATGGAGTTGGGCTTGGCGACGAAGACCATCGTCAGAGAATGGTCGCGCGGGTGCAGTAGGCAGACATGCGACGTCTGACATAGCGTGAACGTTCATTTTGGTGGGCGCCAAAACATCCCCAGATTGGCGAAAGCCAATCAAATTAGTTCACTCTGCCCACATTGTCAGACTTGTTTCATTCTCGCTACGCTTCAAAAATTCTTATCGCAACACACTTTTCAAGCTGGCCCAGGGTTCACTATTTTAGTTGCTGGCTTTAACATACTTCACACTAACATTCCTAACACTAGGTACTAGCATAGCAGCCCAGCATATGCACGCCATAAAACATGGTCATTCATCCCAAATCATGCTGCTGAACTGAAAATGCTCCATTACTGTACTGTACCAAGAGAACAAAACATAGGTGGAAACATAGGTTATGCTTTATGCGGTACATCAATTAACAGCACAACTGCACAGCAAAAAGCTACCATAAAAATCTAGATCTCTAGCTGAACAAACAGGATTCAGAGAATTTGCAGAGCACTTAATAGAAGGATTATAATGGTTTGCTCAGAAACTCGGACTGAATTTGTCAACATGTGCGCTTTCAGCGGATTGACAGATTAAACAGCGATAATCATCATTGCAAACCAATACTGTAAACACAACAGAAGCAAAGACAGAAAGGACGGGAAGGAGAAACGGAAGAGCAAGGGAGTGCGAGAGAGAAAGAGGGGAGAGAGAGAGAGAGAGAGAGAGAGAGAGAGAGAGAGAGAGAGAGAGAGAGAGAGAGAGAGAGAGAGAGAGAGAGCGAGAGAGCAGGAGAGGGAGAGAGAGAGCGAGAGAGAGAGAGAGAGAGAGAGAGAGAGAGAGATAGAGAGAGAGAGAGAGAGAGAGAGAGAGAGAGAGAGAGAGAGAGAGAGAGAGAGAGAGAGAGAGAGAGAGAGAGAGAGAGAGAGAGAGAGAAAGAGGAGGGGCGAGAGAGCAGGAGGAGGAAGAGAGAAGGAGAGGGAGAGAGCGAAGGTAACCTAGTGAATGAGACGCCAGGGGTGGCCTGATGACGGGTCAAAATGGTGGTAGCACGAAGCTAGATTGTGCGCAGAATGATTGTTGATTGAGTTCATCAGTTGATCCCGTCAACTGCCCATTCCCCGCATAGTATGCTCTTGCAAAACACTCATTCAGTTCACAGGATTGCTAGCCTGTCTCTGAACACACTCGGTTTTGCGTACAGTGAAATCAGAAGTTCATAATTCTAACAGAAATGAAATGGGCAATCGAGAAAGAATCGCAAGATAATACTTCAGCAAAAAAAAAGGTGAAACATGAAGGGGATCCCTCGAGAACTCGGAAGGTTAGACAACCAGGTACGCATCACAGATGTCAGAAGCAGAACTGGCGTTACTGGTTGGGTTATCGTCACCGCTCTCGGAAGCATGGTTTATTGAAAGGGAGAGAAACTTGTGAGAGGAGAGTCGTTCGACAATTAAATGTGCGCAGAATGATTGTTGATATGGGTTCATGGAATCATCCCCCCAACTGCCCATTCCCCGCGTGTCCACTCTAGCAAGACCACCTTCAGTTGGCAGGCACTTGAAGCCTGCTACTGTACACATAAGGTCTGCTGAACAGGGCTCTCTGGTGTAACCAGGACGTTAAACGTGTGACACAAACCCAAATTTAGGTCCTAGGCAAGGAGTTCTAGTTACTGCAGCTTAAATACAGATGCAGAGGATGAACCGACGTAGAAAAAGACAGCACAAAGACTATTAGAGCCGAGATCAAGAATTTCCGTGAGGAGTTGGGTTCAATGGCTCTCAGCAGCCTGTGTGTAGTCAACTGCTTGGACCAACCAACCAGATTGCACTCCACATGCAAGAAGCCCACCCCAGCGGCACTAGGCAGAGCCTCGCCCAGGAAGCCGTCCTCCCTCACATTACACCCAGCAAGCGAGCCAAATCCATGGCTTGAATGCTGCTGAATGAACGGTCAGGATTGGGCCAGGGTTCGGATGCCTGTGCTCTGCAGTGGCTGGCCCTTGACGGCGTGGAGGCGAGTTCTGACGGTCAGACGTCGCATCAGACGGCACTTCCTATCGTCAGGTCATAGTGTCATCACCGAGCCAAGGCTGCTCCTAGTTTCCGGTAAGTTATGAAAAGAATCTTGTTGTCCTTGCAGTTACCGGTCATGGTCTCGCACACCCCAACCAACCAGGATAGCGATGGCTTGCAGGTGGTATGTCGAGAACTCAAACCTTAGATTCGAATCCAGATTCACAAGGGAACAGATATTGGGTAATGCGTGAAGGAATGAATACCTCGAAAAAAAGTTGCTGCCCCCCCGATACTCCAGCAAAAAAAATACGGCGGACAAACTATTCCTGCAGCTGCAAACAACGTGCATAAAAACAGTCTGGGATTATCAAACAAATTACTCACAAAGCACTCCTGCCATGTCACACGGCACATACTGAAATATCAGTCCAAGGGCTTCACATCAAACCTCTTGAGGGTTGAACATACAAGCTCCGATAAGGAAAGGAGGTCTAGGGCTAACATAGTGGTTTGGGTGTGGAGGCAAGGCACATTGGTTGGAGTCACAACAGAAACCCAGAATTCCTCCAAGACCTGATCCAGCCCCATTCTCGATGTGTTGGTGGTATACCACAAATGACTCGCTTGAATGATTGTACACTTGCTATTTCTTGACGCATACAAAGACCGTACTCAAACGAAGAACAAATGCTGCACAAAAGCAGGATTTCGTGTTGCCATCAATCCAGCGCCTTCCATAGCCACACTTTTGCAAATCAGATCTAACGGTGTCAGCGAGGTCTTCGGCGCTTGGCGGCTCCGGCCGCGACTCGAGATTCCAACATCACTGAAACAGGCTGAAGCACCGCAAGATGTCCCTTCAATTTTATCCATGTGTCAGCATATCAACGGTTTTGCATTCTGATTCGTCACTAAACTTTCCAAGGTTGCGAAGAGGTGGCCTTTCGTCCAACCAGAAGCCGATTTTGATCACGTTGTCATCCTCCATCCGTGCGAGTTGCGCTGGTTGTTGCACGAAGTGCTGCGACGCGGAGTTCCCCTTGAGATTTGGAGCCTCTGTGACGTTACCACCAAGCCTTGTCAGCTTCGTGAATGCACGCACCTCCACATCAGTTGCGCCTAACAAACTCCGAAAGTGGTGATCATCCGGCTGCTATGAGTGCCGTCGGATCTCAAAGCTCCCTTAATCGGACGGTTTTCGATTAGTCAGACAGGTCGAGACTCGAGAACACCCTCGACCTGGTTCGCCTCTCCTCCTCACATCATCCCTGCCCTCCACCTCACCCCGTCACCACCAAACCAGCCCCGTGTCGTGTGGAGAAAGGGGCGAGGAAGGGGGAGAGAGGGGGAAGAGGTCTGTTGGAGGACGATGCCTTGCTGGAACTGGGAAGAACCAGTCACGAACACACACGGCACCGGGTTTGGTTTCGGTCATACGAGTTCTGTAGAGGTAAGATACGGTGAGTGGGCTTGCTCGGGCCTGCTTGGTGAGTCCATCACTGGTCCCGTGATTCACGACCCACCACTACAAATGCATGCATCCTCCCGCTCTTTTCAACCAACCTGCCATTATTTCCAGCCGCTAGCTTGATTGCTTCTGACACCACTCAGTTTATCATCCAAGCTCATTAGCAAGTAATAGCAGAGCGAAAAGTGAATCCCCTAACCCATTCAACGTGGTGGGTACTAGTTTCTTTTCTTCGTGTTTCCGGAAACGACCGTCATCGTTTGTTGTCTACGTCAGGAGCGGATTACTTCCCGTTGTCTACACCAGATAAGCAGCTTGTGTGCAGCATATTGTAACTTCAGAATGGAGGCCATGAGGAGTCACTCGTCAATGTCGGCTCCAGATCTCCTGGAACACACACCAGAGGAAACATCCGACCTGCCTTTCCCGAGAGAAGGTCACTCCGTGGCGTTCGTCTACGGCACATTAAAAGAGGGTTTCAGCAACCACTGGCTTATGCAGGAGCTGATGCAATCTGGCGACGCCATCCGGATAGGAACCGCTCGGACCGTCCAGAACTACCCTCTTGTATGCGGTCCGTTCCAAGTTCCGTTTCTTCTACGTCTCCCCGGCAACGGTCACCGCGTCTTCGGAGAGATTTACGAAGTTAACGAGAAAGCGGTCGCCAGGCTGGATATTCTCGAAGGTACCGACCGTGGTCACTACGTGCGGCTACCGCTTTTTCTATCCGACGTCGAAGTTAGGGACGACTATGAAATGGACGGAAAATACCGCCATCTACGGGAAGGGATTAATGAAGAAGTGAAGTTTACGGCTGTCGCGTACTTTGCGGGAATGGATCACACGCCCGGATTGGCCATGGGGGAGGCGATTGAGTCGTTTGACGCTCGTGCAGCGGCGACGTACGTTCCGAGACGAGAGAGGCCACCGAATAAGACGTTCTTGGAGCATGTCCATGCGTGGATTCAGGAGCGGCGGTCATTGGTGGAGGCGACTGAGGAGGCATATCGCTGGGCTCTTCCTGTTCAGTGATTTTGGGTTGGCTCAATGTATAGGGAATTTATACGTTATTGAAGATCTATTTCTTTTTTCAGGGTTGCTCAGTTCGTCTAAACGTGCCGAGCTTGTTCCTTTGTATTCTGTCATCATTAATGAAATTGACTCTTCTTTACGAACGTGACCAGCAATGACACCGAGGCCTTGCTTTCCATTTTTGTGCCTGATTACAAGCCGGATAGTCCGTTTTCAGAGAAGGTATGTATAGTACTAGTAGGTAGGTCTTAGTGCCAATTTTCCAGCATGCTGCTCATGCTGAGACGCCCCTTAGGAAGCGGGTAGGGTAGGGGGGCATATGTATCTAAAGTAACCTTAGCATTCAGGTGGATGTGAGTGGATCCTGTTTCACCTTGATAATTAGAATCGCAAGCAATATGTGCTGGAATGGATACTCGGGTGATTGCTGCAGCGGCCCAAAACTTCATTCACAACAGTGGGACGGACAACAATGCATCATCATGTGCTCTACACCCTCACTGTGTATACTGTGACAGGACAGGAAAACCATCCATGTCTTTACCCACAGCGGGCGGTACGGTACCCCTGTATCAGACCAAATCATCGTCATGTCACAAGTTACGGTACTACATCCCTTGTTTCACCTTACTCACCACACCACAGCCTGGTACCATACCGCAGATACCGTAGTAAGCAAGCAACACCACCGCCGTCCGTGTCTCAAACTGTGAATGCCTTAACTCATACTCGATGAATCAATCATAACTGGTCATGCCAACTACGGAAACATACCAAACAAATACTGCAGTCCAGCACTGGTGTTTCAATATGCCTAAAAACACATGCCATGTTCTTAGCTGTAGGTACCAGTCATGCACACACCCTTTGCAGCCACTGCATCCATGGCTTATAGCGAGCATGCCTCTATCGAACATGCATTTGACTTGACTAACCAGTTTTCAGCAAACAATACCTTTGACTAACCAGCTTTAAACGAACAATGCCTTGGGCTCAAGTCTTCGGAATGAGGGGCCAGGGGTATCCCTTAGCCCAGTCATGGCCCTTGGGAAGGCCGTCCAAGCACTGGTGGTGGGAGGGAGGGTATGGGAGTGAGGGAGAAAGGGAGGGAGAGAAGGCTAGAGAGAGTAAGTATTCTATCTATATTAGAGAGGAGGAGAGAAGGCCAGAGAGGGAGGGAGCAAAATCAAATCTGAATCCGGGCAAGAGAAGCTCTCTCAGGCCGTATTTTTGAGTTGACTCAAAATAGACAACAAAATGAGTCGACTAAAAAATAGACTAAAAAATGAGTCGACTAAAAAATAGACTAAAAAATGAGTCGACTCAAGAATGGGCAAGAGAAGCGCTCTCAGGCCGTACCTGAAAAGGGATGAAGTTCCGCCAGTAGCGGTAACCCTTTTTGGGCGGCGGCGGCGGATTCCCCGTGATCTGTACAAAATCCGATACGATTTCTGCCGGTGGGATCATAACCATCACCCCAGGCACGCCCGGATGCCTGAAAGCCGGCACACCCACCCCTGCAGCTTTCCTCCCCCCCCTAGAACTCGCATTATGCCCCCCACCAGCACCACCACCAGCCGAACCGGCAGCAGAGGCGGCAGCAGCTGCTGCAGCAGCAGCAGCAGCAGCAGCACCAGCGACCCAGCCTAGATCCATGGATCGCCACGTTCGCTTTTCTACCCTCTCTGCTATTCGGGAGCTTCTTCGTCTCTTGGGCACTGACCCTGGTGTTCCTCCTGCTGGTCCTCCCGCTGCTGCTACCCCTGCTCCCCCTGCTCCTCTCCCTGCACACTCAGCTGCTGCGGTAGTAGTAGAAGGGGAAGAATTTGCAAATGCCCCTGATCCCGTTGCTCCTAGACCCCCGGATAACCCTGCTAGAAACCACTCAGTCCCACCCATCCCCACCCCTCTCTCCTCCTCTCCCTCATCCTCCCCCATCCCCATCCCATCGTCCTCCTCCCCATCCTCCCCATTCCCATCCTCCCCATTCCCAAACTCCCCAAAAATCCTCCTTCGTTTCCGAGCCTCTTTCCTCCTCATCCGAGCCTGACCCTCCCGGTAATCCCCAGGGAAATCCTCCTCTGAGTCTTCGTCCGAGCCTTCTCCCGAACCTCCCTCCACCCGCTCCTTCCCTCTCCTTCCCCTCTCCCTCTCCCCTCTCCCACCCTTCAGTTCTCTGCCTTCCCTCTCCCTCTCCCCCCCCCTAGCCTCTCCATTCCCCTGCTCGCCTGCCCCCTCTCTCCTCTCTTCCTCCATCCGTCCCTCAGCAATTGCCTCTCGTCTATCTCCTCTCTTTACAAGAGATCCTATCCTTTCCTCCCCTTCTCGGATCTTGTCTGGACGTTGCCCAGTTCCAGGTCCTCCCGTCCTCTTCTCCTCACCTCTCCCCCTCTTCCTCCTCCTCCTCCTTCTCCTCCGCCTCGTCCTCTCCCTCCTTCTCTCTCTGCTCCTCTGCTTGCTTCTCTGCTCCCAAAGCAGCAAGTACCGTTCGATCCACATCCACAAGCCGCCTCTTCTTCTCCTTCTCCCTTTCTCTCTCCTCCTCCTCCTCCTCCTTTTCTCTCTCCCTTTCCCTCTCCTTATCTCTCCCCTTGTGCTTAACCTTCTCCCTCTCTCTCTCCCTCTCCGTTCTGTCCCTTTCCCTCTCTCTGTCCTTCTCCCCTCTCTCCTCCCCTCTTCTTCTTTCCATCTCGTGTGCCTCCTGATCGGCTCCTGCCAAACCAGCATCTCTGCCTCCCGCCCCTCCTTCTCCTCCTGTTTCTGCTCCTGCTGCTCCTGCAGAAATTCTCAACCTGCCTTCTTCCTGCTCTTCCAATCTACCTTCCCTCCTCTCCTCCCCTCCCTCCACCCTCCCATGCTTCTTCAGCTTCTTTTCCCTCCTCTCCTCCCCTTCATGCCTCCCTTCTCTCTTGCTCTCCCCCTTCTCTTCCTTCCTCCCTTCCACCTTACCCTCTCCCTTCCCCTCCCTTCGCTCCTCCCCTTTCTCCCCCCCTCTCCCTTCTCGATCCTTCTCATGCCTCTTCTTCTTTTTCTTCTTCCCCTCCTTGTCCCTTTTCCCAACCCCCTCTCCTTCCATCCCCTTCTCCTTCTTCCCCTCTCCTCCCGCACTCGCCCTCCCCCTCTCTCCTTCCCCCACCTCCTCTCCCTCCTTTCTGCCATTTCTCTCCTCAAAGCTCCTACCAAAACCGTCAACCTGCATACCCAACGCACCATTACCAACACGAGCCACAGCAGAAGCAGCATCACCAAAAACAGCATTACCACCAGTAGCAGCAGCAGCAACAGCAGCCATCTCCTTCCCTTTCTCCTTCCCCTTCTCAATCTCTTTCTCCTGCATTTTCTCAAGCCCAGAAAACACCATGGGAGGATGAAGTAGCGACGAGTGAGGCAGCGATAGGAGAGGCTTCGAGGACTGCCAGCCAGTCTCCCTCCTTTCCACCACCAAGCCAGTTCCGTCCTTTCTCTCCCTGGCATCAGAGCCCTTCTCTTTTGCAGGGAAGCCATTGCCAACCAATGTATCCTCTTCTCCTGCCATCAGAGGCCGTGACAGCAGCAGGGGAGGCAACCTGCTGGGAAGGCCCACCTTTCTCTCCTCAAACTCTCCACTCGGACCTTCCAGTTTCGAATCGAAAGGTCGATTAAAAGGCACTGACGGGTCCGTGCGCGGCTGCTGCATGCGGCTGTTGCTGCTGCCTGGGAGAGCGAGCTTCTCAGAAGGTTCAGAAGGTTCTGCTGCGAGAGGCAGGAGCTCGTCCATGCCTGGGGGGGCTACCCCTACCCACCCGTTTGCCGCCTCCAGTTTCCTGTTGGTAGGGTTGAGAGAAAAAGGGAGATCAAGAGAGAGCGGAAGGGGACGGGTGCAACGAGCAGGATTCATCAGCAGCAGCTCATTGATGCCTGGCGGGGCTACCCCTACCCACCCGTTTGCCGCCTCTAGTTTCCTGTGGGGTCCAGAAAGGGAGTGACGGAAAGAATAGGGATGTCAGTGCGACGCCTAGAAAGAGAGGCAGTGGCTCATCAGCAGTGGCAGAGGCTACCCCGACTTTTGAGACGTCTCAAAAGTCGGAAAGAATTGGGATGTCACTGAGACGCCTAGAAAGAGAGGCCATGGCTCATCGGCAGTGGCAGAGGCTACCCTGACCCACCCATTCGCTGCGTGATTGACACACGCACACGTGGGGAGGCAAGTCTGGGAGGAGATGAAGCAATGTACACTACAATCAAGGTGCACGTACTTTCGACTTTTGAGAAGTCTCAAAAGCAAGTCTGGGAAGCAATGAAGCAACGTACACTACAATCAAGGTGCACGTACAAACAAACCAAGCTACATTCACCACACACACATGGTGCACGCACCTTCGTTTTTTCATTGGCAGCTGGGGCGGGGGTTGCCCCGTGATCGCCCTGAAATCCTCCTCCACCTCCTCCAGTGTGAGAGTGATCGACACACGCACACGCGGCGGCAGCACCGGGGGAGGCATGTCACGTGGCAATGCTAGCTCCTTCCCAGAAGGTTCCTGACTCGAGGAGTCCAGGCGCGGCAGCAGCGCCGGGGGAGGCATGTCACTTAGCGCCAGCTCCTTCCGAGAAGGTTCCTGAGTTGAGCGAAGAGGGGAAACCTGCGATTTCAGGCAGGAAGCTTCTTGAGTCGACCCAAAACGCAAACCGTGAAACGCCGGGCGGGGGCCGGGGGTCTCTTGGGTCAAGTTGAAAGGCAAGCCCTGAGACGCCAGGCGGGGAGTCCCTCGAGTCGATTCGGAAAGAAGGCCCTGAGCATCCAGAGGACACTTGTGTTTCAACTCTTGTGTCGACTCTTGTGTCGATTTAATGGGGAGGGGCGGAGACTCTAGGAATGGAGGAGGACGTAGGGAGAGGTCGAGAACAGGATCGGCTGAGTGAGGGATGGGGGGCTTTTGGGGAGCCTCGGAAATAGGTTCGGAGGAGAGGTCAGGAGCAGTGGAGTGAGAGATGGAGGGTTTCTTAGGTGCTTTGGAAATAGGCTCGGAGGAGAGGTCTGGCACAGGTGTGGCAGAGTGAGGGATGAAGTTTCTTTCAGGAGACTCGACATTAGGTTCGGATGGGAGGTCAGGGGCAGGTGCGGTGGAGTGAGAGATGGAGGAATGGAGGAAAGGAGGTTCGGGTTTGGGAAGGTTGGAAGAAGGAGGGTGGGACGTGGGAGGGTGGGAGGAGGAGGGAGGAGAGGGAGAGGGAAGAGATGACGGAAGGGGAGAAATCCCTGGGAAAGGGATGTTTGCGGTTGAGTCCTTTCCAATCGGCTCAGTTTTTGTTATTGCTAGTGATTCAGTTGCTGGTTTAACAGCAGAAGCAGGAGCATGTTTTGCAGCTGCCGCTGCCGCTACGGCTACCCCAGCTGCTGCTGCTGCTGCTGCTTCTGGTGCTTCTGATGTCACCAAAGCTGCTCCTTCTTGTGTCTCAGCCTTTGTACCTTGTGGAATGACTTCTGCTGTTGCTGCTGCTGCGTCAACTGATGGCTTTGCAGCTGCTGCTGCTGATGCTTTGGCTGCTGCGTTTGATGCTGCTGGTGTATCTTTTCTCATCATAGTGCATACCCCTTCTGGCTCACCCTGTGTACCTCGCGGTGTGCCTGCTGCTGCTGGAGCTTCAACTGCTGTTGTTGCTGCTGCTGCTGCTGCTGCTTCGGCTGCTGCGTTTGATGCTGCTGGTGTATCTTTTCTCATCATAATGCATGCCCCTTCTGGCTCACCCTTAGTACCTCGCGGTGTGCCTGCTGCTGCTGGAGCTTCAACTGTCTGCTGTTGCTGCTGCTGCTGCTGCTCCTGCTGCTGCTGCTGCTGGTTCAACTGCTGGTCCTGCTGCTGTTGCTACTGCTGTAGCTGCTAAATCAAGTGTGGCTGCCTCGGCTGCTGCTGCTGGTGACCCTGTTGTTGCGAGAACGGCTTCTCGTTGTGGCTCAGTCTTTGTAGCTTGTGGTATGGCTGCTGCTGCAGCAGGAGGGGTGGCGGCTGTAGCAGGGAGAATGGCAGCTGTAGCAGGAGGGATGGCGGCTGTAACAGGGGGGATGGCGGCTGTAGCGGGAGGGATGGCGGCTGTAACAGGGGGAATGGCGGCTGTAGCGGGAGGGGTGGCGGTTGTAGCAGGGGAAGTGGCAGCTGTAGCAGTGGCGCCTGTAGCAGGACTGGTGGCAGCTGAATTGGGAGGCGGCACAGATGTGGCAGCGGGAATGGCGGCAGTAGCGGGAGGGATAGCAACTGTTTCAGAAGGTTTGGCAGCTGTAGCAGGGAGAATGGCGGCTGTAGCAGGAGAGTTAGCAACTGTTGCAGAAAGCTTGGAAGATGTGACAGGAGCGCTGGCAGCTGTAGCAGAGGGACTGACAGCTGAAGCAAGAGGAGGTTTGGCAGCTGTAGCAGGAGTGATGGCGGCTGGCTTGGGAGAGGGGAGAGATGTGGCAGGCAGAGTGGCGGCTGTAGCAGGAGCAGTAGCAGCTGCAGTAAAGGGGGTGACAGCTGTAGCAGGAGAGGTAGCAGATGTGGCAGGAGGTTTGGCAGCTGAAGCAGGAGCTATGGCAACTGTATCAGGAGGAGTGTTGGCAGCTGTAGCAGGAACTGTAGCAGATGAAGCAGGAGCAGTGGCAGCGACTGTAGCAGGGGGGGTGGCAGCAACAGGAACGGAAGCAGCTGTAGCAGGAGGGGTAGCAGTTGAAGCAGGAGCAGCTGTAGTAGGAACAGTGGCAGAAGAAGCAAGGGGGGGAGATGTAGCTGGGGGAGTGGAATCTGTAGCAAGAGGCTTGACGGCTGTAGCAGGGGCAACTGTACCGGGGAGAGGAGTGGCAGCTGTAGCAGGAACGGTGGGAGATGTAGCTGAGGGAGTGGAATCTGTAGCAAGAGGCTTTATGGACGTAGCAGGAGTGACAATGGCTCTAGGGGGAGTGGCGGCGGCTGTAGCAGGGGGAGCGGCGGCAGCTGTAGCAGGGGGAGTGGCGGTGGCTGTAGCAGGGGGAGTGGCGGCGGCTGTAGCAGGGGGAGTGGCGGCGGCTGTAGCAGGGGGAGTGGCGGCGGCTGTAGCAGGGGGAGTGGCGGCGGCTGTAGCAGGGGGAGTGGCGGCGGCTGTAGCAGGGGGAGCGGCGGCGGCTGTAGCAGGGGGAGTGACGGCGGCTGTAGCAGCAGGGAGGGGTGATGTAACAGATGATGTGGGAATAGCAGCACCAGTGGCGGCTTCTGTAGCAGTAATATCAGTAGCCGCAGTGGCAGTAGTGGCGATGGCTTTAACAGGAGTACCATCGGTAGCAGGAGAAGCAGTGGTGGTGGTGGTGGGTTCAATAGGAGGAACCTTTGCAGCAGCATCAGCATCGGCAATATTTGGATGAAGTTGAGGAGGAGGCAAAGCAGGGGTTGAAGCAGGGGCAGCGGAGGGAGAAACAGCAGCGGGAGCAGAAACAGTGGCAGCAGGGGAGGGAGCAGGAGCAGGGGCAGGAGCAGGAGCAGGAGCACGAGCACGAGCAGGAGCAGGAGCAGGAGCAGGAGCAGGAGCAGGAGCAGGAGCAGGAGCAGGAGCAGGAGCAGGAGCAGCAGCAGGAGCAGGAGCAGGGGTAGGAGCAGGAGCAGGAGCAGTGGGAGGAACAGCAGAAGCAGGAGAGGTAGCAATAGGAGAAGCAGCAGCAGGAGCAGTGGCAGGAGTTGAAGCAGCAGCAGCCACGGCAGCTGTAGCAGCTGTAGCAGGGGTGGACGCTATAATGGGGGCAAGAGAGGGAGCTGAAACAGCAGGGATTGCAGCGGAAGTGACAGCAGGGGCAGAAGCAGGGGCAGCAGCAGAGACAGGAGCAGGGACAGAAGCAGGAGCAGCAGCAGGAGCAGATGCACAAGCAGCAGAAGGGACAGAAGCAGGAGCAGCAGCAGGGGCAGTTGCACAAGCAGCAGCAGGGACAGAAGCAGGAGCAGCAGCAGGGGCAGTTGCAGAAGCAGAAGCAGAAGCAGAAGCAGGGGGGGAAGCAGGGGCCGCAGCAGGGACAGAAGCAGGGACAGTTGCAGAAGCAGCAGCAGGGACAGAAGGAGAGACAGGAGCAGGGGAGAAAGCAGCGGCTGCAACAGGGGCCGCAGCAGCAGCAGCAAGGGCAGCAGCAGCAGCAGCAGCGGCAGCAGCAGGGGCAGCAACAGGGACAGCAGCAGGGGCAGGGGCAGAAACAGGAACAGCAGCAGGGACAGCAGCCGTAGCAGCTGTAGCAGCTGCGACGGCTGTAGCGGCTGTAGCGGATGGAACCACTGGAACAGCCGTCGCCTGCTGTTGGTAACCAGCTGTTGGTAAAGCAGGCAGAGCTCTAGCTTCTGTAGGGGACGAGTCGGGGGCTGTTGGGACTGCTGTAGCAGCTTTATCAACTGTAACGGCTGTGGTGGCTGCAGTGTCAGAAGCAGCAGCAACAGCAGCAGAAACGAGAACGGGAACAGGAGGAGTGGCAACAAGGGCAGAAACTCCAGCAGCTGCTTCTGGGGATGAGACCTTGTCTGGGGCCATAGCCACAGCCCCACTGGATGCAGTATTTGAAAAGAAGCTTATCTCTGCCCCTCCCTTCTTGGAAATGCCGACAGATGCTTGTTGCGGAGATGAGACCTTGTCTGGGGTCACGGCCACAGCCCCAGCAGATGCAGTATTTGAAAAGGAGCTTATTGGCTCTCGCTCCTTCCCCTCCTCTTTCTCTCCCGTCTCTCCTTCGCTTCGTTCTGTCCTCCCTCTCACTTCATCTCTCCCATCTCCCTTCTCCTTTTCGTCGACCTGCCCTCTCTCTCCTGCTGCAGTCACATCGACCGCCCCCTTCATCCCTTTGTCTAAATCACCGCCCTTTAAAAGCACGCGCACAGCTCTCAACTCCTGCCCCTCACCACCCAAGCCCGCTGCTCCCTTCACCTCCTTCTGAACATCCTCTCTCTCCTTGCTCTCCTCATTAGGTTCAGCACGCTCCTGTCTCTGCCCATCCCCAACCCCTAATTTCGGCACTGTTATCTCCTTCCCCCATGCCGTAGGATCTCCTTCCTTCAATTCAGCTTGACCGTGTTTCTGACCATCCCCATCCTTTCCAAGCTTCCCCTTTTCCTCTCGTGTCGACTCACGAGTCACCTCGCCTTCCTGTTCACGCATCCCCTTGCCCTCCTCCCCACGCACCCCACAGCTGCACTTCGTCTCGTTCAGCTGAGCCACTGCTTCTGGCGCTTCCTGCTTTGCTTTCTCCTCCTTTCCCTTTTCCTTCTCTGCTTTCTCCTCCTCTCCTTTCTCCTCCTTTCCCTTTTCCTTCTCTGCTTTCTCCTCCTCTCCTTTCTCCTTTACATTCTCCTCTGCTTTCGCCGCCGCTGAAACCACTGCGTTTCCCTTTGCATTCCCTCCCACTGCCCCAGCTTTCTGCTCTGCCTTCTCGTTTCCTTTCCCCACTCCCTTAGCCTCTTCTTTCTCCTCCCTGCTTTCAGCCATCCATCCTTTCTCCTCTGATTTCTCCTCTACTTTCTCCTTCGCCTCTTTATTCTCCTCCTTCCCCTCCACCATCCCTCCTTTCCCCTCTGCTTTCTCCACCCTGCTCTCCACCGTCCCTTGTTGCTCCTCTCCTCTCACTCCCTCCCTTCTCTCCTCCTTCACTTGTCCATCCGCCTCCTTATGTTGGTCACTATCCTTCAACCCCTCCTTCTTCCCCACGTTCTTTTCATCTCTCACTTCTTCTCTTTCCTCTTCCCTATTTCCTTTCTCATCATCACCCCCTTTCCCCTTCCCCTTATTCTCCTCCCTCCCTTCCCCCTTCCTCGCCTCCCTCCTCTCCCTCTTCTCCTTCCTCTTCCTCTCCTTCCTCTCCTCCCTCCTCCTAGCCTCATCCTTCTCATCCCTCCCCTCCTTCTTCCCCTCCTTCCCCCCTCTCTCCTCCTCTCCTTCTCCTCTTTCTCCTTATCCTCCCTCTTCCTCCTCCCCTCCTTCCCTTCCTCACTCTTCTCACCCCGTCCTTCCAAACTCCTCCTCCTCTCTCCCTCCTCCACACTATTCACCCCAGGACTGGCCATACTCGCTATAGACAGACCCGGGCTTCCTTTAGAGCAACCGTCCATATTCATAGACATATCAAGACTTTCTCTAACTGGATCTCCACTTTCCGCCAGCTGTTCTGCCTTCCGCGATCCCACAACAGGGCTCCTAACTCCTTCCCCACGACTCTTCTCCTCCCCACGACTCTTCGCCTCCTCAGGGCTCTTTAAACCCGCAGGACTCTTCACTCCTCCAGGACTCTGTAAGTCGCCAGAAAACTTTTTCTCCCCTGGACTTTTTAAATTGCAAGGACTCTTCTTCCCCACGGGACTCTGTAATTCGCCAGGGCGCTTCACATCGCCAGGAGTCTTTTTCTCCTCTGGACTCTCTAACTCACCAGGGCTCTTCGAACACTCTGGACTTTTCAAATCCTCACAAAGATTCAGTCCGTCAGGTCTTCTCAGAGCATCGTCTAAGGGCTTTGCTCCTTGATCCGGGCTCATCACACAGTGCTCAGGGCTCTTAAAGCCCTTCAATTTCAGCTCCGATCCTTTTGCCGAATGCCCAGGGCTCAACAGAGGCTGCTCGCTGCTCTTCTCTCTCTTCTCTTCCTTCTCCCTCTTCTCTTCCTTCTCTATCTTCTCTTCCTTCTCTCTCTTCTCATCCTTCTCTCTCTTCTCTTCCTTCTGTCTCTTCTCTTCCTTCTCCCTCTTCTCCTTCTTCTCTTTTCTCTCTTTCGATTTCACATCCTGCCCCTCCTCGGTCTTCCTCTCCTTCCTCTTCCCCTCTCCTTTCTCCTCCGCTCTCCTTTCTTCCCTCCTCTCTCTCTTCCTCTCCTTTCGCCTTTCCTCGTCCTTTTCATCCCTCTTTCGCCTCTCTTTCTTCCTCTCCTCTTCATCTCCTTCTCTCTTCTCCCTCTTCTCAGTCCTCTCTTCCTCTCGGCTCACATCTCCTGTCTCATCCTTCCCCTTCTCTTCTTTCTTCTCGTCCTTCACCTTCCCTTCCTTCTTCTCATCCTTGTCCTTTCCTTCCTTCCTCTTTTCGTCCTTCTTCTCCTTCCGATCCCCATCCTTTTCTTTCCTCCTCTCTTTCTTTTGTTCACCCCCCTCCCTCTTCTCCTCCCTCTTATCCTTCCCCTTCTCCTTACCCTTCTTCTTCTCTTCCTCCCCAATCTCTCCTTCCTCCCCCACTTCAACGCCTCTTCCTTTCTCCTTCCCCTTTTTCTGCTCGTCAGAAGCAATCTCTCCCTCCTCTTCCTCTTTTGTCTCATTCTCCTCTTTTCTCTCGTTCGCCTCTTTCCTCTCCTCTTCATTCCCCACCTTCTGTTTCCCCTCCCCCTTCACTTCACCACGATTCGCCTCCTCCTTTTCCCTCTCCTCTTCCTTCTGTCCCTTCTCTTTCTTCTCTCCCCCTTCTTCCTCCTGCCCCTTTCTTTTCTCATCCCCCACCTTACTCTTGGACTTCGTCTCTCTTCCTTCCTTCGGCAGATCCTCCTTCCCTCCCGCTCCTTTCCCCTCTTCCCGCGTCTCCTTCTTCTCTTTCTTCACATTTCCGTCCTTTCCCGCGTTCTCATCCCCCACCTCCATCTTGTCCCCTTTCTCCTTCTCCCCCTTCCCTTTCCGTCTATCCTCCTCCCGCTCCTTCCCATTTCCCTTCGTATCCTTTCCCCCCTTCTCCTCCTCCCCTCCTTTCACTCGCTCCTCCCTCTTCTTCTCCTCCTTCCCTTCCTTCGAATCCCTTCGCTCCTTCCCCTCATCCTCCCCTCCTTTCCCCTTCTTTTCGCCCGTCTCTTTCTCCTTCCTTGCGCCTTCGCTCGTTGTCTTTCCCAGTCCAACCATATCAATCACCTTCGCATCCATCCCTTGCTTCCCTCCCTCCTTTCCTTCTTCGCCTCTCCCCCCTTCCTTGGGGATCATTCCCTTTGCATCCTTGTTCTCTCTCTCCACCGTATCACCTTTCCCCGTCTCCCTTTTATCATCTTTCACTGTCTCCCCTTTAACACCTTTCACCGCCTCCCCCTTATCGCCTTTCACCGCCTCCCCCTTATCGCCTTTCACCGTCCCCTCTTTATCGCCTTTCACCGTCTCCCCCTTATCGCCTTTCACCGCCTCCCTCTTATCATCCTCTTTCGTCTCCACGTTAGCATGGTTTCCGCTCATCCTGGCTGAATCTCCGGATGCGTTACAATCACCATCAATGCCACGCGCCCGGTTTCCCCTTCCGGAAAGTTGAACACTCCCGCGACTTGCTTCCATGTATACGCGTTACAACCCGGGTGACTCTTATAAGACTGATGACTTGATATAAGCTGGTTGACTTCTCCGCTAAACAAGAAACCACAGCCGCGGCGTAGAATGGTTACTTCTCTTCTTTACCGCGAGGACTAATAAACATGTCGATTGTTGACTGGGATTCTCGGCCACTCGTATCCTTACTTCCGGGGCTTCCAGGCTTCTGAGATATAAAGCACGATTCTCAATCACTGCTCGAAGAATTTTCCTAATCGAGCCGATGCAAGCCGACACGGGCGATAATAATGACGGACGACGGCCAGGGCTCGCGACGCATAACCACGTTACTGCTGTCATTCAGATCCGCGTCCGGACGAACGGCGGGAGAATCCTCTACTCCAAATACGGCCAATGCGAACAGAGATTACAGCACGGAGGCAGAAATAACGGGCGAAGCTCTCCCGAGGCTGCAGACGGAAAACGTGACGTGTCTGATGAAGAGGGACGAACTGGGAGTTGTGTAGAGAAAGGAAATCCCAAGGGCATCAGCAACACGAACGAAAAACTTGCTTTGCGATTCTCTCGGCTTTTGATGGCAAGGGAGGGGGGACCAACCACATGGATGCTCTGGGTCGGGGTGGGGTGGGGGAATTCTCTAGGGCAGGCTGTGGTCCAGCAATTATGGCGTTTCACATATGATGTTTTGACGAACACTGTACTGATGGAGTGCGGCCGTTCTACATACGGTATAACGGGAATGTCAGACATGCGTAGACATGTCAGATCCACCAATCCCGAGGGTTTCGGGACTCGCAGCTCATGTGACATAGCGCCAATCATTGCACCGGATATGGGGTGCTCGTCGTGCTTTGTACAAGTCTGAAAAGCTAACATTGTGATTTCAAATACACTTAACGTATATGACTCAAATGGATATGCTGGAACGAATGGTGCAACCATCCAATGCAGATCAGATGGGCATCACACAATTGAAAAAACATTGCAATTTGCAGCACACAATAAAACAATGGGCATATGAAATCCTTTCATACCCAATTAATGAATGTCATGGTCAACTACACACTATTATATGCTCCTCTACGCAGTCCCACTCAATGCGAGTTGAACAAATTAGCCGGACCGGATGCACGCACAAAATTCTGTTCCTGTCATGTCACCACGAGTCCCAGTAAGCATGCGCCTGTGATGATGATCTTCACCACATATTCCATATACGTTCAGAAGTAAATACCGTAATGAACCACCTTATGGCTTCAGGTTAAACGGGTCGCTGACCTGGTGGTACCACAAATCCAGCCACACATCTGGAACTCCTGGCAAGCACCACTTAGCACAATCCATTTCCGTCGACCCTCCCGCCGGTCGGTACGTCCCCACGTGTGCATCCGCCCTATAGAGCGACAGCGACAGGATGTTCAGCAGCTTCACACGAGAATTTGCTAGTGCGCTGATTTGCGCGTTGGTCCACGCGACAACGCTGCTCCGAGCCTTGGCTAAATCGGTCGCCGTGCTCGATAGGGGGCCGGCGAAAAGCGCGCAGGTCGTGTCAGCGTATTGAAACATGTTAGGCATGTGCGCGGGCGGGATGGAGAGCGCGTAGGGTTGCACCAGCATGACGTTGGACTTGATGTAATCTGCGATGTTGCGCAGCACGATGTTCAGTGCCGCGATGCCGCTGGGCTGAGATGAAATCACACGGCCCTTGCTGTAGTAGGTGCGGTTGGAGGATTCCTGGTGGGGGAAAAAGGGGAAGGGGCGGGGGAGGAGGGGAGAGGATGGGGGAAAAGGGTGGGAGGAAGAGGGGGAAGGAGTGACTGTTAAGAAGCCAGAGAGCGTGTACGGCTGGACGAGCATGACATTTGACTTGATGGAATCAGCGACGTTGGGCAGCACATGTTAGGTGCTGCAATGCCGCTGGGCAGTGAGGAAATCACGCGGCCTTTTCTGTAGTATGTTCGGTTGGAGGATTCCTGTAGTGAATGAGGGGGGGGGGGGGGGGTGGGTGAACAATGTGAACACAGTGAACAAAGGACAAAGTGATAGGGATAGGGATTGAACAAAGTGTTCAGACGAGTCAGGCTTTCAAGACTGTTCATTTATGTCAGGTTTCAAGGCCATGTCCTCCCCAAAAGAACTTGCATCTCAACGCCACAACGTGACTTACCGTAGGCACCTCACAGGGCACGAGATAAATAGTTGGTTCTGAGACGTCACAAAACCAACCTTATATCTCGCTGGATTGAACAAAGTGATCACACGAATCGGGTTTCGAGACCATGTCTTCCTCAGCAGAATTCGCTTCTCAATCCAACAACATCACTTACGAGGCGCCTCACAAGTATACTCAAATAATCTCAAGACCATATCCTCTACACTTCTTGCAACTCAACGGAACACACGTGTCGATGATAACGTAATGAAAAATGGTTTCAATGGCTTATTTTCAGGCTTACAGCATAGTAATTGCCCGCCACGAGAATGACCGATCGCAGCCCTTTAAGTGTTTCTGTTAGCTTATGGTTGATTCTGTCCACGTGCACCTTCCATCCGTCTTTCACAGATCGCTTCAACTGATTTTGGACGGGGAAATGGGAGAAACAGGGAACAGATTCTCACTGGCGAGCTGGTGGTGTGAACTTAGATGGTAAAACGAATTGCGAGACTACGATTTAGAATGAAAATTTTCCGAAATGAGCGACAACAGCCATAAGAGCCACAAGAAGAACAGTGCAGCAGGCCTGTAGATAGAAGAAACCCAAAGAAAAAAGTAAGGGCGCACCGACAATACTGTGCATCTTCCGAACTGAACCTTAGACGGGGAGTGCCTTTACCGGGTCCATCGGGTCGGCTTCGGTGAGGAATGGTGCGTGCACGAACACGACCTTCACCCCCCAAGGCTTGACCTTGAAACCATCGCCGGTCCAGCCAATCGTCGACGGATCGAAACTCTGCAGGGAAGAAAAGGGGGGAAGAAGAAATGTTGAAAATCGTAAAAGAACGTTGCGGGTCAGTCACAGAAACGAAACTTGTTAACGAGTTTGTGTATGGTGAGAGTAGAGTGTCATGCTCGGCCTAAGTCGCCATTCGGTCGCCCGTTCTTTTCGTAGCCTGTTCGCCATTCACAATGCAGAAAGTGTTATTTCCTACAGATTCTTACCTCGGTCTTCAAATTCGCAGCATCTAGGCGACACCTGAGTGACTGATACATGTACAGGCCAGTATTGTCGCCCACAATCGCGACGGACTGGCCAATGAAAGTCATCGCGAATTTTTTCGGGTCAAACCGATTCAGCTTGCAACCCGACGGCTTCCACTCGAAGTGGCGAAAGTCGCCGTCTGGTCGCCCGTTCTTTTCGCAGTTGAACTCCTGGCTTATGTACGGACACGAGGAGTCGTATACCGGGTACTTGGTCGACGGGGCCCAGCTGCAGAGGGCAAAAACGGGCCGAGCAGGGTGAAAATCAGGGGGTGAATATCGGTGAAATATTTAGAGAAAAGGTGGTAGAAGCAGAGATTGGGAGAGAAGAAGAGGTTGGAAAAATCTCGGGAGTTTGGGACGGCACGAGATTGGTGTATCGGGCGGCAGACTTATCACCTCTTGCGGAAGCAATACTTCATACTGAACAGAGAGGCCTGACAACGCTACAGGTCCGCCAGCCGCCTACCTCCCAACGGAGAGGTCACATGCCTTCTTCTTCTTGCCGCCGATCCCGAAAAATCCGACGGCGTGTGCCACGTGGAAGCACACCAGGAGAAGCGCGCCAATGAAGATTGTTCTGACAGGCCGCATCGTGCTCGCCATATAGAGTCCCTTTTGCTTCTATGATAACCCTATCGACGAAAGCGTTAGCGAGCGATTTTGGCCTTCACGCGAAAGTGCTGCAAACGAAAGGGAAGGCTGTACGCGTGACAAGTATGCGAGTGCGCGAAGACTGTGATGCTTATGCACGGCTTAGCTGGTAGGGCGCCGGTGCTTTGAACCGGCTTCTCCCGTTGCAAAGAATCGGTTTTACTGATCGTTCTGGTTGCAATAGATCGTTTTGGCTGGAAAGGGATGTTTCATATGTACACTACCTTGTCCGCAGCATCTGGGATTAATACCTGCTAAGCTCTTCCACTACGAGTCAGCGAGAATCATGTGAATATGTATGAACGACAGTGTTGGCGGCGAGAGAAAACATTAATTACGACTTCACTGAAGCGGTGAAGAGCTACGGCTGAGAGTTTAATCAATAGTTGTGAGTCGTCTCAAAGCGTGGAGTGGCTTCCGGATGGGCGGCTGCATGCACGAGCCCAGGAATTCACGCGTCCTACGGCGAATGATTCCTGAAAGTGACGGGAGCTGAAGTTTAGTCAGAAACGTGGGGAATGTGTGGAGGAGGGACAGACAGCAAGGGTGCAATGCTTGCTTCCTTGGAAATGAATCGAGTGTATCGGTGTCATGTCAACGGTAGGAAAAAAGGGCGGGAGTTCTGTTTCGCGAGAGGGGCAATACGTGATGCTTGGAATGTGGATTGAAAAGTTGCGCCGGTTCAAGCCTAATTTGTCAAGATGGTAGATTTAGTCGACACGATTAGAAAGGTGGAGTTATTCTGTCGGTGGGGTTCGCGGATGCTGATGCTGAGATTGTGCGACATAGAAAGAGTTTCTTGGAAACTTGGACAGCTGGAGAAAAGCGCATTCGTCGATGCTGTGCCAGCCCACGCTTGGTGCTCGACGAACCTCCATAAAAATCGCGGTTGTTTTGTAGATTGAAGCAAACGGTGCAGGCGGATTGAGGAGAGTGAGTGATGATGAACCAAATTTGTGAAATGGATGGGAGGGAAGAATTTGGTATCACAATTTCACAAATGGAAACTGGCGGTCCGACATTTCAATCGAAGCTGTGCGCCTCGTTTGATTTTTAACGCTCTAGATTCAGCGTTGGAATCGATGGACGGTTGATGTATATTCAAACTTTCTCGGGATTGGCGGGAGGTGGTGCAGTACCTTTCCATTTGCCCCGTTCATTCGCGAAATCCTTGAAGAAAGCGCGATCGAGTTTGGCGGTCAAAACGTTTACGTACAGGACTAAGTCGGCAAATGTGAAGAAAAGATTTAGTACAGTACATGTAACGGTTTGTGAAGGAACTCGATCGAAATCCGAGATGCAATAAGTAGATTAGCCTCCCCACTCACTGCTTGTCATAAAACACGAGGAAACTTTTGTTACCAGCAGCCATTAATTTCATCTTCGTTGTACTACTTGTGGCACATAACGAAGATGACAGTGGATTAATGGCTTCACCAATAGCACACAATGGCATTACACTTGCATCCCATTCATAACCAGCACCAGTCAGGCCAGCAAAGCAGCAGCCAGCACCAGCTGACAGATTGCCCACTTGGCCAAGACTGGCTGTGAACTGCCCTTCTAAAGATACAAGTCAGGAAACCGCTATGTATTTCAAGAGGTGTCTACTTGATCTTCTTCTTGGGCCTCAGCTGCACGGGGGAAAAGGGATGGGAGGGGACAAGGGGAGATCCAGAGAATAAGGTGGAATCACAAGGCAAAAACACTTCACGAAGTTCTTCCACTACGTTGCTAAAACCTTCCCTGCTCGCTACAGCCTGCCCACGAGGTAGCTACAGCCTGCCTACGAGGTAGCTACAGCCTGTCGCCGTGGTCGTTACTGCCTGACCACGTGGTCGCTACTGTCTGCCCACGTGGTCGTTATTACCTGGCCACGAGGTCGTTACTGCCTGCTCACGAGGTTCAGACAGCCAGCCAACGTGATCGCTACTGCCTGCCTAACTGGTCGCTACAGCCTGCCCACGTGCTCGCTACTGCCTGCCCACGTGCTCGCTACTGCCTGCCCACGTGCTCGCTACTACCTGCCTACCTGGTCGGTACAACCTCCACAAGGAGCTACAGCCTGCTGCTATAGCCTGCTGCTACAGCCTGCCCACCTGGTTGGTGTGGCCGCACGTATTCCTGCAGTTCACTGCGGACGGGTGCAGGCGAGCGTAGCACCTGCTGCACCCGTGATACTGCGCGTACTGGTCGCTACAGCTAACCTACCTATTCGCTAAAGCCTGAGTACCCACCTGGTTCGTGTGGCCACACTTCTTCCTGCAGTTCAAAGCGCGCGGGTGTTGACGATCGTACCCTGCCTACCTGGTAGCTACAGCCTGCAGCTACAGCCTGACGCTACAGCTTGCCCACCTGGTTCGTGTGGCCGCACTTCTTCTTCCTGCAGTTCACAGCGCGCGGGTGCAGGCGGGCGTAGCACCTGGACAGGGAGAGACGGGGAAGACGGGGTGGATCAGGGGGCGCAACGGAGGGGGGTTTGCCAATTAGCTGCACATAGCGCGCAGGTACAGGAGAGCGTAGCACCTGGAAAGCGTAAAAACAGTGGCGGATCAGGGGCGAATCAGGGGCGGCCAGGACGGGACGGGGCGGTGAGGGGGAGCGATCTTAGCAGCAAATACTTCATGCGGACACGACAGGACGGGGCGGGGCGGTGAGAGGGAGGGCGCACAAAGAACTGACTTGCGTGTTTGAAGAAGTGTGGTGGTGTTTTGAGACGTCTCAAAACACTTCTTCAAACACGGGAGTGGCCACAAAGAACTGACTTGCGGCAAACCAGCTCATCGTGGCTGTACTTGCGACGAGCGCCATGAGAAACGCTTTGTACTCGTTAAAAGACGTTCCCAAATGCATTTTTAAGTAGCGAACTCACTTGCGGCAGATCATCTTATCGGCGTTGTACTTGCGAGCGAGCGCCATGAGAGAAGGCTCGATGATTCCTCCACGCAGCCGCAGCACCAAGTGCAGAGTCGACTCTGAAATCGCAGAAGGGAGTGAGGCGCGGGGGAAAATGACGGGGGGCAGACACAAAAGAGAGCGCCATGAGAGGAGGGGGGAGGGGAAAGGGGAGAGGGGGGAGGCGAAGGCGGGGGGGAAGGGGAGGGGGGAGGTAGGTGAGGAAAGGAAAACCTACAAGTTGAAAAGAATCGATGGAAAAAAAGGAAACCGGGCATGAGGGCGACGTGGGTGTGATAGCGACGAAAGGAAGAGAGCGGAAGACGGTGAGCAAGGTGTAGCTATCTGGTGAAAAGAGGGGAGACAAGGGCCGGGTGCGGGTTGATGGGAGGAAGAGGGGTTGAGGGATGGTGTGTGTATGGGCTGGGGCCGGAGGGGGGGGAAAGGGGAGAGGGGTGGAGGAGGGAGAGGAGTTTGGGAGAAAGCAATGTAATTCTCGCATTATCAACGAAATGCATCAATAAAACCCACCCTTCTGGATGTTGTAGTCCGCAAGCGTGCGGCCGTCCTCGAGCTGCTTGCCGGCGAAAATCAGCCGCTGCTGGTCGGGAGGGATGCCTGTGAGGGGCATAGAGTAACCGGGGAGATAACATATCGGGAAGAAGAAAAGGGAGGGGAGGTGAGGGAGGAGGGAAAACTGGGTGAGAAAAAAACGGCGACGAATTCACTGCTGGAGTTTTGCAGCTTTAGTCGAACTAATTCAAAGTCCAGACTGCGAGCCCTTGATGCGAAGCAGGCTACTTCGAAAGAGCGTCTAGCAAGCGGGTAACGCGTCACGGGTGACTTGACTTTCACGTTCAAAGCGTCGTCTCATTCTACAACCCGCAAGCGACAATTGCTTGTGACGACTCTAAGGAAATCCTCACTCGCAGTAAACTTTACAAGATTGAGCCTCATGCTAGATCTCCGTCCCCATCCCCATCTGCAAAGGTTTCCACTATCCGCACTAACTTATCGGCAAGAAAGCATTTGATAAATACACGAATCATGTACCACCCGCCTTGTGCAGAGATGTGCACAGATTCCTGATCCGTCGTCGGAAACGCGAGCCATAACTTTTAAGAATTCTTACAAGTGACGCTCGGAGGAAACGGATGTCTACGAGCCGGACACTTGAAAACAGCCGAAGGAGCTCTGGAGGCACTGCGTCTACCTAAGAAATGCTTCTAAAATAAACTTCAACGACCAGCTTCAGTATATGGCTCACTAGGGTACCGACAACGTTACTAGAGTGTGATACGCGTTACAGGTATCGCGAACTGTCACCAGTAAGAAGGAGCCAGCAGGCGAGAGAAAGGACACAATAGAGGGAAACAGAATGATAAACGAAAGATAAATTTCCAACAAATCTCAATGCCTCAATCGCCAACTCACGGTGAAATCCGCGACTCACCCTCCTTGTCCTGGATCTTGGCCTTGACATTGTCGATGGTGTCGCTGCTCTCGACCTCGAGAGTGATGGTCTTGCCCGTCAGGGTCTTCACGAAGATCTGCATCTTGCTCAACCGCTCAGCACCGCTTTGTACCTGCACGGACCGTTGGTCAGGATCGACAATTAAGCAGTAGAAGCACTAAGATAACTTGATCTCATGATTAAGAGTAACCGGTAAAAGTGATGAAACGGCCGACGTTGCCTATCCATGCTAGTAATCCTAGAAGTCAAGCGACAAACCCTAGGTAAAAAATCTAAACGTACGTTCGCGAGACCCTCGTTAAAACAGCTTTACAACCTGTCTCTTAATTCGAGATTAACGTGAAATGACTAAGCAACACCAAGTAATCTTCCGATGGCTCACGAGACACGTAAGAGAAAACCTGAACTCTTACCTCAGTAAGGGGAATTGGAGGATAACAGAGAGAGGAGGGGGAAGGAAGCCGAAGCCAGAGAAGAAAGGAAAGGAAGAAGGGGTTGGGAGGGAAGGAGGCGTGATAATAAAGCACGTGACTACAACGGGTTTGATGGAATTGAGGGGCCAACCGTGTTGCGTGTTGGTGTGCTGCGAAAGCAGTGCTGTGGTAACACCCTGTTAAACCCTGCACAACCGGCGAAAGGGCAAAATTTTCGGTGCCGATCGACCATTTGGGATGCGTGGATCACTAGCGGTTTAGCTGAGATCGTTCGGCGAGGGTGAACGTTATATTAAGTTCGGAATAGTGGGGATATCCTAAAATAAACAATTAAAATAATCCATACACCACCTAAAATGCTGCTGAACATAGGCTTTGCACCATAGCAATCAAGCTTGATATTTTCACCTCTCCCACGACAAAAACTGACTTCAATAGATGCCAGATAGACTCCATTCACATTGGTCTCTTCCAACGATTTTATGTAATTGCATGGTGAGCTTCCAAAGATTCTCTACCGGTATGAATCTTGTAGTATCCAAGTGAAGTGAGGTATCACATGCGGTAATCTAATGGTACGCAGCAGCCTCGGCTTTAAGCTCCTCAATGAATTCGGCAATGGACTTTGTGCCGTGAACCACATTGTCTCGTGTGCGTACATTCACCTGTTAGGTAGGGGGAAAGGTGAAGAAAAACAGTTTACACGCATACGGTAACGTGGTTGCACTGAAAGCTGCAAAACTTGAGACACTGTCACCTCTATCTCTCCATGCTCACCATCACCCTGAGCTCTCTCAAACAACCCATCCAGTTCAACTCACCGAGCCCTGTGCCTCCTCCTCCGCTCCCACCACCAAAATGTAGTTGAACTGAGCCAGCTGGGCCTCCCGCACCTGTGACAATGGTTGGTGGGTGTGACAATAACAGGTGTGGCGATAATGTTTGTGACAATAGCGGGTGTGATCATAACGGGTGTGACAACAGGTGTGACACTAACTATAAGGTCACAACGGGTTCAGCACATTAAGGTGGGAGAACACAGGGGGAAAGAAAACGTGCTTCTTAGACTAGTGGCATTGTTGCGTGCAAATGCCCAGCATCATCAGACCTGGAGTGAAAGTCACCATGAAACAGTGTAACCAGAGAACGAACCTTCTTCTGAAGCTTCCTGTCAGAGAGATCAGCCTCGACGTCAAAGCCGGCAGCATGGATCTCATCACGAACCTGCGGTACCATAGCAAAATAACGATAAAAAAAAATCAAATAATAACGAGATTTTTGAAAGCAACATGAACAGACCGAATATCTACAGTAACATGCAAAGCTTCCTCTGAGGCAAGTCACAAGGTGACATGCCGTGAACTGAGCCAGTAGGGCCACTATTGAGCTTTTGGTGTACACCATTAACTCACTGCCTACCTTGGTGGCGTATTGGGAGTACTTTTGAGAAACAGGGCACGCGGTGACCTGGCGGGGGCTCAGCCAGAAGGACCACTTGTGTGGTGCGTGAACCCTCTCATAGGAGCAACCCAGCCATAACAGTCACAGTGATGCACCGCTAAGGGAGTACCTTGATGGCGTATTGGGAGTACTTCTCAGACACGGGGCACACGGTGACCTGGCGGGGGCCGCTCTGTGATGCGTGCACCTTCTGACAACAGCCGCAACCCTTCGTGCTTTTCAGACCCTCACCTTGGTGGCGTATTGGGACAACTTCTCAGATACAGGGCACACGGTGACCTGGTGGGGCTCAGCCAGAAGGGCCACTTAGTGATGCGAGCACCACCTTTCAACAGAGGAGCACAAGGAGGGAAGGAACAACCCCTCCTTCCCACCCACCGGCAGTGAGAAGAGAGAATCTTGGACTCAAACACTTATTGGGTGTATTGGGAGTACTTTTCGGACACGGGGCACACGGTGACCTGCCGGGGGCTCCCTTAGGTGCATGTACATTTGACACTGAGTGTCTACCTTGTCAAGACTCACCTTGGTGGCGTATTGCGAGTACTTTTCAGAGACGGGGCACACGGTGACCTGGCGGGGGCTCAGCCAGAAGGGCCACTTGCCAGCGAAGTGCTCCAGCAGGATGGCAAACATGCGCTCGACTGAACCCAGGATGGCACGATGGATGATGACCTGATGGTGGGGCACAAGGCACAAGGGAGAGAGACTGAGGGACAGAAGGGCCACTTGCCAGCGAAGTGCTCCAGCAGGATGGCAAACATGCGCTCCACTGAACCCAGGATGGCACGATGGATGATGACCTGGGGGATATGAAGGGGAAATCCGAAGGGGGATAAAGTTAGAGAGTGGGGAATGAAGGGCTCCAGTAGGATGGCGAACATGCGCTCGATCGACCGAACCCAGGATGGCAGCTACAAAATGGAACTCACACCCTCGCTCACCTCTGCATGGATACTCCCCGGTCGCTTCCTGCCGGCTGCATCATTGTCAGCAGAGTACTCGAGCTTGAAGCGGATGGGCGGCTGGAAGTCCCTGTGAGGCACCTCAATGTACTGGGTTCAGATGAGATCCCACTCACCAGTCGCTTCCTGCCTGCAGCATCATCGTCAGCAGAGTATTCCAATTTGAAGCGGATGGGCAATTGAAAATCGAGCTGCATGGTGGCGCACTGGTGCTTCCCCTGTGGGCTTGAAGAAACAACATTCACCATCCGAAACTGTTCACACACGCACACAGCTTTACACATACCAGTCGCTTCCTGCCGGCAGCATCATCATCAGCGGAGTATTCCAATTTGAAGCGGATGGGCAGCTGGAAATCGAGCTGGATGGTGGCGCACTGGTGCTTCCTCTTGAGCGCATCATACACCGTGATGTCAATCTTGGGCCCGTAGAACGCCCCTCAGGCACTCGTTTCACACGTACCAGGGGTTTCATGCGAGTGGTTTCACACGTACCAGGGGTTTTCATGCGAGTGGTTTCACACGTACCAGGGGTTTTCATGCGAGTGGTTTCACACGTACCAGGGGTTTTCATGCGAGTGGTTTCACACGTACCAGGGGTTTTTATGCCAGTGGTTTCAAGGAGAGAAGACTCACCGGCCGCTTCCTGCCCGCAGCGTCATCGTCAGCAGAGTATTCCAGCTTAAAGCGGATGGGCAGTTGGAAATCGAGCTGGATGGTGGCGCACTGGTGCTTCCTCTTGAGCGCATCATACACCGTGATGTCAATCTTGGGCCCGTAGAACGCCCCGTCGCCCGCGTTGATCTGCCACGGCCGCCCGAAGGCGTTCAGAGACTTGGTGAGGGCGGCTTCGGCGCGGTCCCACGTCTCCACCTCCCCCAGGTGCTTCTCTGGGCGCTGCATGAGAGGGAGGAGGGAGGTGGGACGTGAAAGGGAGGTAGGGGAGAGACGGCATTGGGTGAGGTGAGTGCTTTCCCTCCTGCTTGCCCCCTCTTGAGCACATCATACACCGTGATGTCAATCTTGGGCCCGTAGAACGCCCCGTCGCCCGCGTTGATCTGCCACGGCTGCCCGAACGCGTTCAGCGACTTGGTGAGGGCTGCCTCGGCTCGATCCCACGTCTCCACCTCCCCCAGGTGCTTCTCTGGGCGCTGTATGAGAGGGAGGAGGGAGGTGGGAGACAGGCACACAGTGAGTGAATGAGTGCTTTCCCTCAGTAGAGAGCTCCAGGTCGAAGCGAAGCCAAAGATGCCGTAGACTGTCTGCACGTCGCTCACCTCGGGCCATACTCACACACAGATGGTGGAACCCACTCAATGCAATACAGTGTATGGGCTCATGGGCTTACAGTAGACAGCTCCGGGTCGAAAGTGAACCCGAAGATGTCTGCAGGAAGTCCAACACGTCCCTGACTTCTGCCTCCAACCCACCCAACCCAACAAAATCCCACACAACCCCACACAACCCCACACAGCAGCTCTTCATTTACACACATCACACTCACCGTGGACAGCTCCAGGTCCAAGGTGAAGCCAACGCTCCCGTACAGTCTGCAGGAAGTCAAGCGTGGTGTCCCCTCTCCCATCCTCACAGGACAGTGTTACAGCAAAGCGGGTGATTTTTTAGAATTCTAAAAAATCACTCACGGGTGCTGAGACTCACCGTGGACAGCTCCAGGTCCAAGGTGAAGCCAAAGATGCCGAACACGGTCTGCCGGAAGTCCAGCACGTCACTGACCTCTGCCTCCACTGCTCCAGGTCCAGGTCGAAGGTGAATCCAAATATGCCGTAGACAGTCTGCAGGAAGTCGAGCACGTCACTGACCCCATAGGCGCATACTCACACGAACACACACACTGCTCCATCGCACCAAGCGTATGGGCAGGTATGGGCTTACCGTGGACAGCTCCAGGTCGAACGTGAAGCCAAAGATGCCGTAGACAGTCTGCAGGAAGTCCAGCACGTCACTGACCTCCGCCTCCACCTGGCTCTCCTCACAGAAGATGTGGGCGTCATCCTGGTGGAAGGGGGAGGAGGGGAGAGGGAAGGGAGGGGAAGATGGGGAGTTGAGTTGGGTAAGGAAGCTCACCCCTCCAGCATGTCACTCACTTCCGCCTCCACCTGGCTCTCCTCGCAGAAGATGTGGGCGTCATCCTGGATGGGTGGAAAGGGGTGGGAAAGGGTGGAAAAGGGAGACAGCTAAGAGGACAGAGAGGGAGAGCAGAGATGGTAGGTGGGTGGGGGAGACCCTCTCACAGCTTTTGAGTTGACTCAAAAAGCGTCCCTGACCACCGCCTCCACCTGGCTCTCCTCACAGAAGAATTGCGAGTCGTCCTGGCAAAAGTAGAGGGGGGGGAAGGGGGGGACAGCAGAGGACAGAAGAGACGGTAAGTAGGTGAGTAGCAAAGTGACCCTCTCACAGCACGTCCCTGACCTCTGCCTCCACCTGGCTCTCCTCACAGAAGACATGCACATGGGGGGGAGACCGGAACGAGAAGACAAGGCACGACCAGGAGGAGGAAGGGAAGACGGAGGGGTGGGTGGGGCAGTGAGCTCTACTCAGCTCTGACCAGACCAGCAAAACACAGAATCACCTCACATTTTGGTACAGCTATCCTATCCCCTTGTCTTAAGCTTCTCCAAGACGAGATCCCTCGCCTGTTGAAACCCCTCTCAAGTCAACCCCTCACCTGCTGGAACCTTCGCACGCGTGTCAGGCCAGTGAGAGCGCCACTGAGCTCGTTGCGGTGAAGCACGCCGAAATCAGCGAATCGCAGTGGGAGCTCTGATGGTGTGGAGGAAAGGAGGGAGGGTGAACGCAGGATGAAGCAAACAGCGGGGATGGATGAAGAGGTAACAAGAGGGAGGGCAGAGGGATTCCAGTGGTTAGGACCAGGGTATAGGGCTCAAGGTTTAAGAGACAGTCTGTAGAATGCAAATCGGTAGGAGCGGACGCGGTGGGCGAACATGAGGCAGTGGCCGGGGCAGTTCATGGGCTTTAACCCGAACTCCTGCTTCTCCACGTCACACACAAACATGTTCTCCTTGTAGTTGGCCGCGTGGCCCTTGCAAGAACATGAGGCAGTGGCCAAATACTCTCTGCTTACCTCGGTAGGAGCGCACCCTATGCGCGAAGGCAGTGGCCGGGGCAGTTCATGGGCTTTAACCCAACTCCTGCTTCTCGACATCAAAGACAAACATGTTCTCCTTGTAGTTGGCCGCGTGGGTTTAGGAATAGGGTTCTGGGTTTGAGATTTACGTGTCACTTCGTAACACACACCTCGATAGGAGCGCACCCTATGCGCGAACATGAGGCAGTGGCCGGGGCAGTTCATTGGCTTGAGTCCAAACTCCTGCTTCTCAACGTCAAAGACAAACATGTTCTCCTTGTAGTTGGCCGCATGGCCTGAGATGTTCCACAGCTCCATATTAAACATGTTGGGCGTCACGACCTGAGAGGATAAGGGAGAGAGGCAGGCAGGGGCATGAGTGCATGGCTTAGGATGCATGGTCGCATGGCCTGAGATGTTCCACAGCTCCATATTAAACATGTTGGGCGCCACCACCTGGTGTGTGGGGAGAGGATGCATGGTGAAAGGGTACAAGAGGGAACATAGAGGAACCATCAGCAAGATAATCTCCGTGTAGTTGGCTGCATGGCCTGAGATGTTCCACAGCTCCATGTTGAACATGTTGGGCGTCACGACCTGATGTTGGGGGGTGAGGGGGAGAGGGGGAAGGAAACGGTGAAGAAAAGGGTGTGATGATAACGAAGGGCACAAGCGAGCCTTGTGTGTAGCTGGCCGCATGGCCTGAGATATTCCACCTTGTGGGGAAGGGAACAGCAAGGTTAACGGGACGAGGAAAGCATTGGGCGGGTGGGAGGCACAAACAATAAAACACTCTCCTCGTCATTCGCTGCGTGTCCTGAGATGATCCACACTTGTTGTTGTATATCCGCGCCCCACCTGCTCCCCACCTTCTCCCATCCATCCCTCCTCCTGCCACAACCCCTCCCACAGCCCCTCCCATCCCTTCGCCCCCACATCCTCCCCCACATCCTCCTCACCTCGTGGTAGCTAAGCTTCCACTATTCGCCCTGAATGAACCCCACCAGCTTGTTGTAAATCCGTGCGCCATGAGGCAGGAAGAAGCAGCAGCAGCACAACAAGTTTTGAGTCGACTCAAAACTAAGAAGAAGCAGCAGCAGCACGACACTACCTTCCACAACTACCCCTTCTCCCTCCCATCTCTCGCCCTCCCACAACCCCTCCTAAACCCCGCTCCTCACCTCGTGATAGCCTCGCTTCCTGTATTCGCCCTGAATGAACGAAACCAGCTTGTTGTATATCCGCGCGCCGTGCGGCAGGAAGAAGCAGCTCCCAGGGCTGCAGGGAGGGACGGAAAAGGGAGAGAAACGAGGAAAGCACATGGGTGTGGGTGGGTGAGCCGGCCCTGGATGAAGGAAACCAGCTTGTTGTATATCCGCGCGCCGTGCGGCAGGAAGAAGCAGCTCCCAGGGCTGCAGGGAGGGGGACAAAAGAAAAGACGAGGACGGCATATGAGGTGATGGGAGAGACGATGGTCCTGAGCAGCAGGGAGGTGGTACCTGAGCGGCAGGGAGGTGGTACCTGAGCTGCAGGGAGGTGGTACCTGAGCGGCAGGGAGGTGGTACCTGAGCTGCAGGGAGGTGGTACCTGAGCGGCAGGGAGGTGGTACCTGAGCCGCAGGGAGGTGGTACCTGAGCGGCAGGGAGGTGGTACCTGAGCTGCAGGGAGGTGGTACCTGAGCGGCAGGGAGGTGGTACCTGAGCTGCAGGGAGGTGGTACCTGAGCGGCAGGGAGGTGGTACCTGAGCGGCAGGGAGGTGGTACCTGAGCGGCAGGGAGGTGGTACCTGAGCGGCAGGGAGGTGGTACCTGAGCGGCAGGGAGGTGGTACCTGAGCTGCAGGGAGGTGGTACCTGAGCTGCAGGGAGGTGGACCCTGAGCAGCAGGGAGGTGGTACCTGAGCGGCAGGGAGGTGGTACCTGAGCGGCAGGGAGGTGGTACCTGAGCTGCAGGGAGGTGGTACCTGAGCTGCGGGGAGGTGGTACCTGAGCAGCAGGGAGGTGGTACCTGAGCGGCAGGGAGGTGGTACCTGAGCTGCAGGGAGGTGGTACCTGAGCGGCAGGGAGGTGGTACCTGAGCTGCAGGGAGGTGGTACCTGAGCTGCGGGGAGGTGGTACCTGAGCAGCAGGGAGGTGGTACCTGAGCGGCAGGGAGGTGGTACCTGAGCGGCAGGGAGGTGGTACCTGAGCGGCAGGGAGGTGGTACCTGAGCTGCAGGGAGGTGGTACCTGAGCGGCAGGGAGGTGGTACCTGAGCGGCAGGGAGGTGGTACCTGAGCGGCAGGGAGGTGGTACCTGAGCGGCAGGGAGGTGGTACCTGAGGGGATGCAAGAAGAATGTGTCCTGTGCACCTGAGCGGAGGACAGGTGGGCTCCTGTCAAAAGCGCACCTGTCCTCTTTTGACAGCTCCTGTGCGAGCCCACCTGTCCTCTTTTGACAGCTCCTGTGCGAGCCCACCTGTCCTCTTTTGACAGCTCCTGTGCGAGCCCCACCGCACGGTGGCTATTACTCTAAACCAGGTACTATCCATAGCTGAGAAATTAAGTCAGACTTTTGAGTCGACTCAAAAGTCACCCCTAAACCAGCTACCATCCATAGCTGAGAAAATTAAGTCACTGAGGGGGTGGAAGAGAAACAGGTCATGTTTGAAACCCGCCACACGGTAGTTAATACCTAACCAAAACCAGTTACCATCCGTAGCACAAGTATCAAGTTACCTAAGGGGGTGGAAGAAGAAGAGCTCCTGTGCGAGCCCCACCACACGGTGATCTGAAGAAGGCTGTTCAACTGCAGCATGGCACCTGTGTGCTGTTCACTTGGAAATGATACCTGAGCAAAGGAAGGCGGTACCTGAACAAAGGAAGGCGGTACCTGAGCAAAGGAAGGCGGTACCTGAGCAAGTGGAAAGCGGTACCTGAGCAAGTGGAAAGCGGTACCTGAGCAAGTGGAAAGCGGTACCTGAGCAAGTGGAAAGCGGTACCTGAGCGGGTGGAAGAAGAAGAGCTCCTGTGCAAGCCCCACCACACGGTGATCCCGCTTCTTGGCCTCCTCCAGCACGTGCAGGTACTCCTGGTGGTGGTTGTATTGAGTTGAGAGTGGTGGAGGGGGGTAGGAAAGGGTGGGGAGCGGTGGAGTGAGATAACGAGTGATTGCACCAATGAGGTGATCCTGCTTCTTGGCCTCCTCCAACACGTGCAGGTATTCCTGGTGGTGGGTGCAGTGACAATGGTGGGGAGGGGTGGAAAATGGTGGGGTGAGATCATGAGTGGTTGCAACAATGGGGTGGCCTCCTCCAACACGAGCAGGTACTGGGTGGTGATGGGAAGGTGGGTGACGGTGACGGGTGGTGGGTGGTGGGTGGTGGGTGGTGGGTGGTGGGTGGTGGGTGGTGGGTTGTGGGAGGTGGGTTGTGGGTGGTGGGTTGTGGGTGGTGGGTTGTGGGAGGTGGGTGGTGGGTGGTGGGTTGTGGGTGGTGGGTGGTGGGTGCATGGGTGTGTGTGTGCGCACGTGCGGGGGCGGGGGAGGGGGTGGAGGGGGGGACGGGGCCACGGGCGGGGGAGGGGAGGGGGGGGCAGGGGCGGACGGGTGCGCGCGCGCATGCGTGCGTGAGTGTGAAGAATATCTCACTTTGAGCTTCTTGCTGTCGGGATACGGGATACCATACACTCGCTCTTGAGGCGCCTCGAGTGAGGGGCATTTCTCAACGCATGCAAAAACATCTCACCTTGAGCTTCTTGCTGTCAGGATACGAGATACCGTACACTCGCTGCAAACTCTCTCTATCAGACTGCCCCCTCCAGTACGATGCTGATGCCTGCACAGAACAACAGATTAAAGAGAGGGAAGAGAGAGAGGGAAAGTCAAGGAAGGGGAAGAGAGAGGGGAATTCAAGGGAGGGGAAGAGAGAGGGTTTACTGGGAAGTCTCGACGCTCTCTCTGTCAGACTGGCCCCGACAATATGACGCTGAGCTGAGGCCTGCACAGAATCGAACCACTCTGAACTGCTCTAAACCGATATGAACGGCTCTTCGCCCTACTGCAATGCACCCACCTTGAGGCAGGCAGCAGAGGCACAGACATGGGCAGTGCTGGGGATGTGAGGCCCACAACGCAACTACTTAAAATCCCTCTGAACCGCTCTGGACATTATCCGGACCTCGCTGAACCACTCTGAACCGCTCTGCACCCACCTTGAGGCAGGCGAAGGCCTTGACGTGTTGGGGATGTGGGGGCTGCGGCAGAGATCAACCAGCAGCCCACAGCGATACACGGTGATGGTATTGTACTCCGCAGCTAAAAAAAATCCCTTTGAACCGCTCTGGACATATCTGGACCTCATTGATAGACCCTCAACCGCTCTGCACCCACCTTGAGGCAGGCAAAGGCCTTAACATGGGAAGTGTTGGGGATGTGGGGACCACGGCACAGGTCGACCAGCGGCCCACAGCGGTACACAGTGATGGTCTTGTCCTCTGGCAGCTCGTTAATGATCTCCACCTGATGGGGGGAAAAGAATAGGGTTGAGGGTTTCGGGTTCAGTGGTTTCGCATGGGACAGAGCGGCGCTGGGGCACAGGCCACCAGTGTTGACCAGCTGTACACGGTGATGGTCTTGTCCTCTGGCAGCTCATTGATGATCTCCACCTGATGGGGGGAAAAGAATAGGGTTGAGGGTTTAAGGTCCAGTGGTTTCGCATGGGACAGAGCGGCGCTGGGGCACAGGCCACCAGTGTTGACCAGCTGTACATGGTGATGGTCTTGTCCTCTGGCAGCTCATTGATGATCTCCACCTGATGGGGGGAGAAGACTAGGGTTGAGGGTTTAAGGTCCAGTGGTTTCGCATGGGACAGAGCGGCGCTGGGGCACAGGCCACCAGTGTTGACCAGCTGTACACGGTGATGGTCTTGTCCTCTGGCAGCTCGTTGATGATCTCCACCTGATGGGAGGGAGGTGGGAAGGGAATGTGGTTCACGAAGGTTTAGGGTGTGGGGAGGGGCGGAGAGGGGTGGGATGGGGTTTACACACAGGTTGCTGTGGCACAGGTTGACCAGTGGCCCACAGCGGTACATGGTGATGATCTTGTCCTCTCTGGGAGCCCGTTGATGATCTCCACCTGATGGGGGAAAGAGAATCCGGGGTTGAGTGTATAGGGCGCATCATACATGGTTAGGTTTTCGCATGGGACAGCATAGTGTGAGTAATGCTTGCACAGGGCACAGGTCAACGAGCGGCCACAGCGGTACACGATGCTGATCTTGTCCTCTGGAAGCTCGTTGATGATCTCCACCTGACAGGGGGGAAAAGGGGAGAAGGGTTCAGGGTTTAATGATAATGTCAACAGCTACTCACCTTGAAAGGGTTATCATCTCACCTTGAAAGGGTTATCATCTCACCTTGAAAGGGTTATCATCTCACCTTGAAAGGGTTATCATCTCACCTTGAAAGGGTTATCATCTCACCTTGAAAGGGTTATCATCTCACCTTGAAAGGGTTATCATCTCACCTTGAAAGGGTTATCATCTCACCTTGAAGGGAATATTGCCGAACATCTCGAGCGCCTGCTGCCAGGTCACCTGGATCCGCTCAAACGCCTGCTTCTCCTTGGCGGCTTTGCCTGCGTCGTGAGCCGCCTCACAAGTGCACCTTTCAACAGCTTATCACCTTACATTGAATTGGTTTTCACCTCACCTTGAAGGGGTTCTCGGCAAACATCTCGAGCGCCTGCTGCCGGGTCACCTCGGTGCGCTCAAACGCCTGCTTCTCCTTGGCGGCCTTGCCTGCCTCTTGAGCTGTCACACCAATGCACCACCTTACAACATCTTATCACCTCACCTATAACGAGTTATCACCTCACCTATAACGAGTTATCACCTCACGTACAACGCCTTATCATCTCACCTTGAAGGGGTTATCGGCAAACATCTCGAGCGCCTGCTGCCTGGTGACTTCAATCCGCTCAAACGCCTGCTTCTCCTTGGCGGCCTTGCCTGCCTTGCCCTCAATGGCCTTGAAATGCTCGTCATTAAGGGTACGGTCCCCGTAGAAAGCATCATAATAGAATCCCTGATAAGATGGTTAGTGGGAGCGTGTGAGTGGTGTGGGAGAGGGAGATACAAGCACATAAGAGCCCTGCCCGTTTTGCCCTCAATGGCCTTGAAATGCTCGTCATTGAGTGTGCGACCGCCGTAAAAGGCGTCATAATAAAATCCCTGTGATTAAAGAGGAGACGAGGGGGGAGGAGAAACGGGGAGAGTGGGCGCACATGAGCCTTCCCCGCCTTGCCCTCAATGGCCTCCAAATGCGCACACATGAGCCTTGCCCTCGTCATTCAAAGTGACGTGTATGAAGATTTGTTTTGAGACGTCTCAAAACAAATCTTCATACAAATGCGCACACATGAGCCTTGCCCTCGTCATTGGAAGTGCGCTCTCCATGAAAAGCATCGTAGTACACGAGAGGTGGGGGAGGAAGGGATGCGTTGGGTTGTAAAGGGAGAAAGTACATGTGCATTCGAGCGCAATGCACAGGTGGAAGACACCCGCACCCACTTACCTGCCTTATTCCCCTCTTCTCCATACTCTTCACTTCTCCTCCCTTGTTCCCCTCCTATTGTTCCTTTCCACTTTCTCTCACCTCGCCTTGTGTGTGTGGCGCACCCAATACACACAGGTGATACTATACCCCACACCTGCCTCCCTTCCTCCCCTCCATTCCCTCCCTTGTGTTCCTTTCCACTTTCTCTCACCTCGCCTTGTGTGTGTGGCGCACCCAATACACACAGGTGATACTATACCCCATACCTGCCTTCCTGCCTTCCTTCCTTCCCTCCCTTTCCTCCCTTGTTTTCCCTTCCAGTAATTCCTTTATTTTCCTACACTCCTCCCGTTTCTCTCCACTTCTTCTCACCTCGCCTCGCGTGGTGCAAGGCCCAATGCACAGGTGACACCCATACTCCTGCTCCAGAGCCTGGGAGAATGGATAAGATGGAGAAGGACGCATAAGCAACAAGAAGACTTTTGAGACGTCTCAAAAGTATGCACAGGTGACACCCATACTCCTGCTCCAGAGCCTGGGAGGAGGGATAAGATGGATAAGATGGAGAAGGACGCATAAGCAACAACAAGTGTCATGTGAAGGAACAGGGAGAGACGTGGAAGGTCGCTTGACTTTTGAGACGTCTGAAGACCCGTGCTCCTGCACCAGCGCCTGCCTGGAAGAAAGGATTCGAGGGGGAGAGGGTGTAAAGCAGCATTGCTGCGTCAGAGCCTGGGAAGAAGAGGTGGATCCGAGCAAGGAGCTAGCAAGAGAGGGAATGCATATGGAGATGTGAAGAAAATGCTAACAGAGTTTTGAGTAATCGGATCCAGTAGTAATGCGTACAACCCTTAAATTACTGCTTATAACGCGTGCATGTACTTGTACTGCGTACCTCTCCCAAAATGTGAGCGCTGGAGTGCCAGAAGGTGTCCCTGCCCTCGTCATCCTCAAACGTGAACAGCTGCAGCGAGCAGTCGCCCTCCAGGGGCCGGCACATGTCCCACAACACGCCATCCACCTGGAAAAAGGAGGGGACGATGCAGTGACACACGTACAGTAGAAAGTGAATCAAAAGAGAGGATATGGGGAGGCCTAGTCACCAGGTAACAGCTGCAGCGAGCAGTCGCCCTCCAGGGGCCGACACATATCCCACAGCACACCATCCACCTGCACAAGGGGGGTAACGATGGGCATGACATGACATGACAACACACGTATGGGTAAATTGAAGGAGAGAGGAAACGGAGTGGTTAGATCACAAAACAACAGCTGCAGCGAGCAGTCGCCCTCCAAGGAACGGCACATGTCCCACAGTACGCCATCCACCTGGCAATGAAGGGAGGACAGGAGGGATGGGCATGGATTATATAAACGCAGGTAGAGGAGTTGGAAGAAGTTTGGTCAAGTGGGAAGAGCTGCAGCGAGCAGTCGCCCTCCAAGGAACGGCACATGTCCCACAGCACGCCATCCACCTGGCAATGAAGGGAGGACAGGAGGGATGGGCATGGATTATATAAACGCAGGGAGAGGAGTTTGAAGAAGTTTGGTCAAGTGGGAAGAGCTGCAGCGAGCAGTCGCCCTCCAAGGGACGGCACATGTCCCACAGCACGCCATCCACCTGGAAAAAGGAGGGAGCGATTGGTATGACACGACACGTATAATTGAAGTGAAGGCGAGAAGAGGTGAAGAGGTTAGATGACAGAATAACAGCTGAAACGAGCAGTCGCCCTCTAGAGGGCAGCACATGTCCACCGGTGAAGGAATGTGCAAAAGGCAAGTGACACGTATGAACTGAAGCGGAGGTGATAGCATTAAAGCCACAAACACTCTCACCTGGACCTCGACGCCAGCTTAACGCCTATCGATACGTCTCAGAGCTCGCACCTCAACGTGCCTCTCGCTCACCTTGGAGATGATGGCGCTGTTAGCGAGCCCCTGCGGGATGCCCTTAGCCACGTCCAATGGGGAGATCTTCCACTGGGACGGGATCAGAGCGCAGTGAAGCAAAGATGCTCCCACACTGCAGTGTTGCAAAGTTGCTCACCTTGAACGTGCCTCTCTTTCCCTCACCGTGGAAATGATGGCGCTGTTGGCGAGCACCTGCGAGATGCCCTTAGCCACGTCCATCGGGCGCTGAACGTCACAATACTCTCTCCTGATTGCTTGACTTCTTTACAGCAGCACCACGCAGCGCTCACCTTGGAGATGATGGCGCTGTTGGCGAGTCCCTGCGAGATGCCCTTGGCCACGTCCATCGGGGAGGTCTCCCACTTCTTGCCCTCCTTCACAGCACCGTCGGGCAGGGTGATCCTGGCGAATGTGACACAAACGGGAGGATGGAACGGGGGACGTGTGTGCGCGGGGGGGGGGGGGGGGGGGGGGGGGGGGGGGGGGGGGGGGGGGGGGGAAAGAGGGAGGGGTTGTGGGGAGGTGGGGAGGGGCTGTGTTGCAGTGTGAACTGCCGGAACTGCCACTTTGTCGTTAACTTTCTCAAATTCTCCACGCGGCAGAGCGGTATCATCCGCAGGTGCGAAAGAAAACTCCGAAAAACCCTGGATCGCCAGTAGTGTTCTTCCTCAGTGCTACCTCATGCTCTGCCTTCTTTCTTCCTTTTTTGCATTGTCACTCTCGGATCGCCTACGCTTTTATCCCACTGCGCTGCTTGTTTACCCGATACGCCATTGAGACCCATCCATTACTGTCCTCGCGTTATTGTAACAAACTAACGGCACTGATCTCACTTGATCGGTTCGCCAGCGATCTTCGCCCTCTGCTCTGCCTGCTCCTTCTGAAGCGCCTCGAACATCTCGATCCGCCTCTTGAAAAACGCCTGAATCTCCGGCGCGATCTTCGCCGCCTCTTTCGCAGCGGCAGCCGCGGCGGCAGCGGCTTTGTCGGCGCCCTTGTCTGCACCCTTCGCTTTAGCGGCTTTCTCAGGTTTCGCGGAAGCTGCAGCAGCGGCGTCGGCTGCTGGTGCGCTGTCGGCCAACGACGCGTCAGCCAGCTTCTCGGCCACGTCATTCGGACTCATCTTGACGTGTCAATTAAAGAATCAACGTCTACCGAGGCTGTCCCTCCAAGGTTACGGAGTGTCAACGGTTACCCCCGTACAAAATACGGAGTTGGGGGGAAAGAAAGTGACTGGCTCGGCGAACTGGCAGAGACCGCACGATGACAGGAGAGTGTTGACTAAGCGTTTCCAGAGACAGGCATTAGAGATTGCCGGACCCCACAAATGCTGCGTGACAGACTAACACTGTAAGTGGAAAAATCTACAGCTTATAACCTGAAGCAACGGCGTAAGTTGCGGGGTCGTCAGTCGTCACGTCCCAGATTCGCCTAGGAAAAGGAATCTACTTCTGCTGGTTGGGGGCTTTGTGGGTGTGAGCGGAACATCGAAAATCCCGCAACCAGGAAGTTGGGAAAGCGCAAAGGGGGTGGGGGAGTAGGCGAACGCGCAAAGCGATTGGGTGATGAGGAATGACGCAACCGACCTTGGAGTTGACGGATTTGCGGTTGCGAGTCAGCAACGAACGCATTCGCGAACAATTCACGAACTACACCTTGGAGGTGGATCAAAATCACGACAAAAAGGAGCACTGCACTAAAGCAATTAGCAATAACAAAATGCTAATAAAAGGTATATATATATCTTATCCACTTTCATGCTCCATAAATTAGAGCATGCAATTGACCCAGGCTACAGAAACTGGAATCAGCTTCTAAATACGGCTGCGAGGGCCGATGGGACTGCCGCCCTCAAACGCCTCTTCAAGCACTTCTTCCACTCGCTTCGTTGGAAGGATCTGAAAGGGAAAAACACCACGAGAAAGCGGGCAGAATGGACACATTTCCAGGGGCAAAAAACAATGCAGTCGGGGCATCACCGATGCTTGCTTCATTACTACAGCCTGTCATCGACACCTGTACACCCTTTCTTACCCACTGCGAAGTATCCAAATAGCAAACCACTTTGTCCTAAATCCACTCAGGAAGGGATGCAATGCGGCCATTGATGCCTCCATGACAGAATCATTCCCTCTGCAGGCAAGCAGCACTCACAAGCATGCCATGTCGCCCCTTTTTGGCACAGGACATGCATGTTACCTAAATGCATTCATGATGCCACATCAATCGATTTCCACACATGCCGCGTCAGCCTACCTCCATGCATGCCAGCACAGCAGCCGGCACCTCCTGGAGATCCTTGATGTTCTTTTCGGGCAGAATAACTCGCCTGATGCCGCAGCGATGGGCAGCGAGAATCTGAACAGCGAAAAAAGAAGAGGACGAAAACAAGGGAGGCAGGGGGATGGGTAGAAACGAAGAGGGGAGAGGTAGGAAAACCGGGAATGGAGAGACGGAGAGAGACATGGGGTGAGTACATGCTTCAGGGAACAGTAGCAGCTCTATTAGCAGCATGCCACGTGGGCAGTATCTCAACCGTTCAACTCTCAGCACTCACCGTTTCACCCTTACCCAATGTGGGCAACACCAGGCCTCTGATTGTCAGCTCTCCAGTCAAAGCCATGTCGGACTGCACGCACACACGCTGTGTGGCTGAAGTCCGTCATTCCACACACACTGCTGCTGAAGTCCGTCATTCCACCGTACTCCCTATTAGGACTTTGACACCAGCAGTGCTGCACACACTCCCTATTAGGACTTTGACACCAGCAGTGCTGCACACACCAGCTCTCACCTTCTCATTCACGCCCCCAGAAAATCATAGATTCGACCCAGATTCAACAGACCAATCTCGTCCTGACTTTGGAGTCGACTCAAAAGCCACCTCCACCCAGATTCAACAGACCAATCTCATCCTAATCTTCACTATTCCGGGTGCCTAGGCTAGGTCGGGATCAATTAAAAAAGAAATTATTATTCGCATCTGAGCGTACGCGTTTCGGCACGGTGGCTCTCATCAGCCCTCTCACCTTCTCCTTGACGCCCCCAACAGGCAGAACCAAACCCCTGAGCGTGAGCTCGCCCGTCATGGCCGTGTCGGACCGCACACAGCGGTTGGAGAGGAGAGACACGAGCGCGGTTACCAGCGTAACACCGGCCGAAGGGCCATCCTTGGGCACAGCACCTGGAGTGAGTGAGAGATTGCGTGAGGGAGCGAGTGAGAAACGAGCATTCATGGAGCTAGCTCGTTTGACACAGAACTTTTGAGACGTCTCAAAAGTCGTCTTCTTACACGCGGTTTTTGAGACGTCTCAAGAGATTGCGTGAGGGAGCGAGTGAGAAACGAGCATTCATGGAGCTAGCTCGTTTGACACAGAATGCTCCGCTCCTCTGTCTCTATGTGTCTGTATGAAATGCCCACAGGATTCTCCAAGAAGCGGCACACAGAGACACGAGCACGGTCACCAGCTTAACACAGCCGAAGGGCGCGTAAGACGCAATAATAATAATAATAATAATAATAATAATAATAATAATAATAATAATAATAATAATAATAATAATAATAATAATAATAATAATAATAATAATAATAATAATAATAATAATAATAATAATAATAAATAATAATAAATCGCTTTTGAGGATTCACAAAGTAATCCCAATCTCCCAATGGGTGTGTTACCTCCTGGGAGGTGGATGTGTATGTCTCACCCCTATATGAGGTTGCGCGGGAGAGGCACGCGGCTGAAGAAGTTCTTTTAGGCGCCTCAAAAATCGTTACCTCCTGGGAGGTGGATGCGTATGTCTCACCCCTCCATGAGGTTGCATGGGAGAGGTATGGGGCTAAAGAAGTGCGTGTGATGTGTGATGTGTGATGCGTGTGTGATGGTCCGTCTGTGTGGGGTATGTGTGTGTGAGTGTGTGTGTGTGTGTGTGTACGTGTGTGTGTGTGTGTGTGTGGCATTGAGCCGGACAAGGGCACAACTGAGTGCAATGTCTTACCTGCAGGGAAGTGGATATGAATGTCTCGCCCCTCCATGAGATTGCGTGGTAGAGGCACGGGTCCAGTTGAAGATGGGCTGTTGCTGCCTCGGCGGATGCTGCTGCTGCTGCTCTTGCCGTTGGTAACAGAAGCAGTGCTTGGGTAGGCCATGCTGGCATAAGCAGAAGCAGCAGTGGCGGAGGGAGCAGCAGCAACTGCTGCAAAAGAAGAGGGAGCAGCAGTGCGAGAAGCAGCAGTAGCATAAGTACCAGCAGCAGCAGCAGCAGCAGCAGCAGCAGCAGGAGTAGGAGAAGTGACAGGAGGTGCGAAGGAGGACGGCATGATGGTGGGGACGACGGTAGGGGCAGATGCAGGGGAGGAGGAGACAGCACCGTAAGGGCCGAGAGGGGGGAGGTGGTCAGCAGCAGGTGTGGTGTCGTCAAATGGATGGTCTGATGGGGTGAATGGCGGAGGAGAGGAGGAGGGAGGGGTGGAGGTAGGCGGTGGTGGGAAGAACTCTGCTGCCCTGGCACGGACCTGAGGGGGTTGAGGCAAAGAGAGAAGGGGATTGGGGAAGAGAAGAAAGAAGGGGATTGGGGAAGAGAAGAGAGAAGGGAATTGGGGAAGAGAAGAAAGAAGGGGATTGGGGAAGAGAAGAGAGAAGGGGATTGGGGAAGAGAAGAAAGAAGGGGATTGGGGAAGAGAAGAGAGAAGGGGATTGGGGAAGAGAAGAGAGAAGGGGATTGGGGAAGAGAAGAGAGAAGGGAATTGGGGAAGAGAAGAGAGAAGGGGATTGGGGAAGAGGGAGATGACATGAGAGAGTATGGAGAAGAGAAGGGACGAGGAAGAGACGACGAAGGTGGTCAACAGTCAAGTAAGTGCTCTTTTAGTCAAACTCGTTATTAACTCTGGAAGAGCAAAGCACAATCCGAGACACACTCGTTATAGACTCACCCAAGAAAGAGAAGAGCAAGATGCAGCTCGCCCTTCTCCCCCATGTTTGTAGCTTCAATCAACTGCACCTCGCCCCCCCACTGCTGCTCATGCCTCTCCAACTCCATACTCGCTATAAACTCACCCAAGTGAGAGCAATCTGGGCCGATTCTTTAATGACGTCTCCGAGTTGTCCTGTCAGATGCAGCTCTCCCTTCCCCACCATGTCTGTTGCTTCAACGAACTGCACTTCGCCCCCCACTGCTGTCCACACCAGACCCACCGCCACTCCTGGGGTTGCCACCCTCTCTGCTGCCTCCCTGCCGTCAAACTTAGGAGGCTGAGAACGTGGAGAGGGAAAACGGGGAAAACGGGGAAAACGGGGAAAACGGGGAAAACGTGTTGAGAGACGACTGTTGAGTCGACTCATAAGTCACCGTGTTGCACAGAGTTAAGGGAAGAGAGACGACTGTCGAGTCGACTCATAAGCGTGTGACTTTTGAGAATTCTCAAAAGTCACACGAATATAGCTGTTGGGAATTCTCAAGAGTCGACTGATAAGCGAAAATTGGGAGTGGTGGAGACTGGGCGAGAAAAGAGACGACTGTTGAGTCGACTCATAAGTCACCGTGTTGCACAGAGTTAAGGGAAGAGAGACGTCTGTTGAGTCGACTCATAAGTCACCGTGTTGCACAGAGTTAAGGGAAGAGAGACGACTGTTGAGTCGACTCATAAGTCACCGTGTTGCACAGAGTTAAGGGAAGAGAGACGACTGTTGAGTCGACTCATAAGTCACCGTGTTGCACAGAGTTAAGGGAAGAGAGACGACTGTCGAATCGACTCATAAGCGTGTGACTTTTGAGAATTCTCAAAAGTCACACGAATATAGCTGTTGGGAATTCTCAAGAGTCGACTGATAAGCGAAACTTGGGAGTGGTGGAGACTGGGCGAGAAAAGAGACGACTGTTGAGTCGACTCATAAGTCACCGTGTTGCACAGAGTTAAGGGACGAGAGACGACTGTTGAGTCGACTCATAAGTCACCGTGTTGCACAGAGTTAAGGGAAGAGAGACGACTGTTGAGTCGACTCATAAGTCACCGTGTTGCACAGAGTTAAGGGAAGAGAGACGACTGTTGAGTCGACTCATAAGTCACCGTGTTGCACAGAGTTAAGGGAAGAGAGACGACTGTCGAATCGACTCATAAGCGTGTGACTTTTGAGAATTCTCAAAAGTCACACGAATATAGCTGTTGGGAATTCTCAAGAGTCGACTGATAAGCGAAACTTGGGAGTGGTGGAGACTGGGCGAGAAAAGCGGAGATAATGGAAAGCAGGAGATCAGACAGTCAGAAAAAACACACCCTTACCAGTCCACCTGCTCCCAGTCTCCTGCCCTCTCACCCCCAGCACTTTTTTCCAGCATCTCCTCTGTGACCTCAATGGAATTCGATTCGAGCATTCCCACACCACTATCATCCACCCTAATGCCAAGCGCCCAGCAGCACCGACTCAAAATGGTAACGCCAATGTATCGCCACTCACTCACCCCCAGCACCTTCTCCAGCAGCTTCTCTGTGACCTCCATGGGGTCTGAGCTTGCACCTGCCCAAACAATGCCGTACCTACCCCAACACCATGGTATCTCCACTCGCCCCCAACACCCCCAGAATCCTCAAAAAGCACCTGCCCAACCAATGCCATACCTACCTACCCCAACACTACGGTACCGCCACACCACTCACCCCCAGCACTTTCTCCAGCATCTCCTCTGTGACCTCAATCGGGCCTGAGTCGTCTCTTACCCTTAACGCAAAATGCCACTGCCAATGCCAATGCTATGGTATCGCCACACCACTCACCCCAAGCACTTTCTCCAGCATCTCCTCTGTGACCTCCATGGGGTCTGAATCCGCCATCACTGCCGCCACCTCCTTGCCCTGGGAGAGAGGGGGAGGGGAGGGGGGTCGGTGGTGTGGACAGAGAGAGAGCGGTGCAGAGCGGTGAAGAGGAGGGAACTGCAGCATCCTTCCACTCCAGCATCTGTGACTTCAATTGGGTCCCAGTCCGCCATCACTGCCGCCGCCTCCTTGCCCTGGAAACGGTGGGCCTCGGTAGCGCAGAGAGAGGAGAGCGGTGCAGAGCGGTGAAGAGGAGGGACTTGCGACACACACTAGAGCATCTCTTCCATGACCTCGATGGGGTCTGAGTCCGCCATCACTGCTGCCACTTCCTTGCCCTGGAATGATGAGGTTCAGTGGTAGAAAGGAAGGAGAGAGGGAACGGTGCAGAGCGGTGTAGAGGAGGGACTTGCGACACCCACTAGAGCATCTCTTCCATGACCTCGATGGGGTCTGAGTCCGCCATCACTGCTGCCACTTCCTTGCCCTGGAATGATGAGGTTCAGTGGTAGAAAGGAAGGAGAGAGGGAACGGTGCAGAGCGGTGTAGAGGAGGGACCTGGAGCGTCCATCCACCCCAGCATCTCATCTCCTCTGTGACCTCCATGACCTCGATGGGGTCCGAGTCCGCTGTCACTGCTGCCACCTCCTTGCCCTGGAAGGAGGGGGGGGGGGGGACACGGGGGTTCAGTGGCATGGAGGGAGAAGGAGAACGGTGCAGAGCAGTGACGAGGAGGGAACTGCAACAACCACTCGATGGGAACTGCCTCATCTCCTCTGTGACCTCGATGGGGTTTGAGTCCGCCATGACTGTTGCCACCTCCTTGCCTCCGCAGCCCACCTGTCTGCGTTCGACAACGCCATGACTGCTTCCACCTCCTTGCCCCACTTCTGGGAATTCTCAAAAGTAAAATTCACGTTGCTGCCACCTCGTTGCCTTCCATCACTACTTCCATCTCAAGCTCAGCCTTGGCGTCTCCCACTGCTGCTGCTATGACCAGCGGGTCACTCGCAGCAGAGAGAACTCCTTACTGATCCTTATTGCACCGCACTTCACCACTCTGTAACGGGCTCCACTCACCTCCATGCCTATCGCCTCCACTTCCATCTCGAGCTCCGCCTTGGCGTCCCCCACTGCTGCTGCTGCCGCCAGCGGGTCAGATGTCGCAGTAGGAGCAGCAGAGCTGGGTGCATCGGCAGGTCCAGTGATAGAGGCAGTCCCAGGGGTAGGGGGGGACCCCCCCACTTCCCTCGCCACGCGGATGCAGCGGTTGGACTGGGCCACCTGTGGGTGGTGGGTGTGTGAGTGGGTGAGTTGAAAGAAGGTGATGTGGGTGGGCTGGCAGTCCTTGGGGCAGGAGGGGTCCCGCTAACCTCCCTCGCCACTAGGATGCAGCGGTTGGACTGGGCCACCTGTGGGTGGAGGGTCGGTTTGATGAAGGACAGGGTGGAGAAGATAAAGGAGAGATAAACCGAGGGTATGAGGGTCAGCCGTAGGAGAAGTAGCAACAGAGCTGGGTCGTGGGTTTCCCAGGGGCAGGGACACGGGGCCTCCCAGGGGCAGTTCCGGGTCGTGAGTTTCCGCTCGCTTCCCTCACCACACAGATAGCAACGATTCGACTGGGCCACCTGTGGGAAACATACGAATATGAAGCACTGCAACAGGTCATGTCAAAGGTGTCAGAATGAGAGTTGAATCGATTGATTAAAGTGAAATATAAATGGATACAAGTAAACCCAAGTCAACCCACCTGCACAGCACGATGTCTTGCCAGTGCTGCCAGCAGGCGACTCAAATTCCTCACTCCCACCTCCCGGGTGTAGTGCATTATTAGCAGTCAACACAGGTCAACCCAAGTCAACCCACCTGCACGGCAGCGTGCCTGGCCAGTGCTGCCAGCAGGCGGCTCAGATTCCTCACTCCCGCCTCCCTTGTGTAGCGCGTTATGAGCAACTCCACTGCGTGCTGGTGGGATGATGTGTGGGGGGGGGGATGAGGGGGAATAAAGGAAGTAAGCAAGGGCTCAGATTCCTCACTCCTGCCTCGCGTGTGTAGCGCATTATGAGCAGCTCCACTGCGAGCCGGTGGATTGATGCGTGGAGGTAAGGGGAAATGGAGGTGGTTTGGAAGAAACGGAGGAAGAGTGGGGAGCCAGCTCAGATTCCTCACTCCTGCCTCCCGTGTGTAGCGCGTTATGAGCAGCTCCACTGCGAGCTGTTGGAGAAAGGAGAGGGAATGGGGAAGATGGGGGGCGGGGAGGGATAGGAGGGAGGAGGTATTTGGGAGGGGGGATGTACAATACAATACAGTACAATAGAATACGATTGTTTGAGGGGAAATACAATACAATTCATAACATAGCAACCGAATCTCACATTCGAGATGTGCAGGTGGAGCTTGGTTATGTTATGTGATGCTATCATTTGCATTCACGTCTGTCTGCCACCCATCCTATGTTCGTACGTTGCATGCGTGATGTGTGCATGCGTAAGAGTTTGTATTTCGTGTGGTTTGGATTTTTTGTGTGTGTGTGAATGTTATTTGGCTTGAGCAGATATCTGGAGTAACTTCTCTGTTCGACAGCTTTCCGACGAACCAAGAATCGTCGCGATCGGAGCAAGAACGAGAAAGTTATGATCGTTCGAAGTTTTGATTGTGATGTGGAGATTTTGGAAATTAGTTGAGTGACTCTATATGAGGTATATACTTTTGGGGGTTGGGAGAATTCGTCATTTCACTGTAGTTGCTGCCAAGTGGTTGGGAGAAGCCAAACCAGGTTGGCAAGTGTGACCAAGTTGGGGTGAGATGGATTACATGGGTTGGGAAAGTGACAAAAGTCAAAGTTGGGATGCTTATAGGAAATGGAATTGCTTGTTTATGGGGTTTACTTGGTTGCGGACTCTCTTGATGACCTTTCCTCGCGTTCTCCTCATCCTCCCCTACCTGGTTTCTAGCTTCTCTAATTCTCTTTGTGGTTCTTGTGTAAACAATTGTGATTCAGTTAAGTTTGTGTGGCAGGATACCCTCAAGTGCGCCGAAATTCATAACTCGAGATTAACTTCATCCTTTGATACAATTCAACTTGGGAATTGTAGCCACGGTCTAGAACTATAACATATCCGAAATTGGTGAAGTTTCGACGGTGCGTTTTTCATCGACATCGTTTCATGTGAAGTCGACATTTATGTCCAGAATTTTAGTCTAACGATTTTACATTATTTCGGCCCCTAATTTACATAGACTCCGTCCTTAATCACTAACAGGCTATGCCATGCTGCTCTTTTTGAGGTGCTTAAAAAATCGAGATGTGCAGATGGGTGGAGCTTGGTGATGTCGTGATGCTCCAACAGTTCTCTTCTAGCTAAGGCCCCACCCGACCCACGTACAGTACAATACAATCCACAAAGTATTGAATCAAATCTCATGTCAGAGATGTGCAGATGGCGCTTGGTGATGCCGTGCTGCTCCATCACACGCAGGATGGAAGAGGAGCCAAAAGTTCTTCATTCAGCACTGTGCGATACTCGTTCACTACAAAGAGAGTTGAGCAAACCAAATCAGATCTCACATCAGATATTTGGAGGTGGCGCTTGGTGATGCCATGCTGCTCCAGCACGCGCGGGATGAGGTGGCGTGTGGCGATTCGCTGCTTCTCCTCCGGGGTGTAGCCCGGCAGGTCGATCACCTCCATGCGGTCCAGCAGAGCGGCTGGGATGGGTGCTGCACGGTTGGCCGTCGCCACAAACACCACCCGCGAGAGATCAAAGGGAACTCCTAAGTAGCTGGTGGACAAGGGGGGTGGGGGGGAGGAGGGGAGAAAGGGAGACTGGCCCTCAGTCACATCCTGTTCATCTGTAAACGGGCTGACTTTTGAGTTGACTCAAAAGTCAGACGGGCCCATTCATAAGCACTCATACACATCCCGTTCATCTTCCCGTTCCGCTACCACTGATGAAGGATTGACGGGGGTCTGTCCCAGTCGTCCGAAACATGTTTGCGTTCTAATCGTTTTGGTGGACTTAGAGCTCAGTTTCGATATTGTTTTTTGCACTGGCAACAAAGAGTACAACTCTACAGTCGTTTCTTCTGCTAAAGAATTCTCCTAAGCTGCAGCTCGCCTAATCCAATGGCTGAAAGTCAGACGGGCCCATTCAGAAGCACTCAGACACATCCCTTTCATCTTTTGAGGCGCCTCAATAAACGACAGCCGATTCAGCAGCAGCACACTTAAAGCCGTAATCACTGGTCCTGGAAGCACTTTTTTCCGCTCGGGGTCCAGCACTTCCAGCAGCGCCGCAGCAGGTCAGCAGCAGGGCATCAGCAGGGCATCAGCAGGGCAGCCGCACTCAGAGCCCAGGCTACTGGCCCTCCCAACCTAGCAGAAAATGACGGTACCCCTCTCAACCCACTCACTGGTCCTGGAAGCACTTGTTCTGCTCGGGGTCCAGCACCTCCAGGAGAGCAGCAGCAGGGTCACCCCTGGCATCAGCACCCGTCTTGTCAATCTCATCCAGCAGCATGACTGGGTTGTTGACCCCCACACGCTGGTGAGGACAGGGAGCAATGCAACAGAAGATTGGGCAGGGAAATGTCGAGGGGGTGTTAGAGATTGAGGAAAGGGAAAGTGTTGATGGCAGCAGCAGCAGGGTCGCCCCTGGCATCAGCACCCGTCTTGTCAATCTCATCCAGCAGCATGACTGGGTTGTTGACCCCCACACGCTGATGTGGGGAGCAGGGCACGGGGGTCATTGGGAGGGGTGAAGTGGAGCAGCAGGGTCGCCCCTGGCGTCCACTGTAGTCTTGTCGATCTCGTCCAGCAGGATTGTTGACGCCCACACGCTGGTGGGGGGAGCAGGACAGGGCAGTGCATGCGAGGGGTTGAGGAAAGGAAGACATTTGTGTGCGGCCTTTTGAGGCGCCTAAAAGGAAGACATTTGTGTGCAGCAGCAGCAGGGTCGCCCCGGGCATCCGCCTCTGTCTTGTCGATCTCGTCACGAAGCACGACCGGGTCGATCTTGTCTTGTCTTGTTGGCGCCCACGCGCTGGTGGGGGGGCAGGAATATGGGTGGATCAGCAGGAGAATGTGGAGAGGAGTGGGACGGGTCGAGGAAAGGGAGAGTGGTATGTGGAAAAAATGCCTTAAGTCCCTGGAAATGCATGCCGGTACTTTGCTGTTATACCTCACCTTGCTGTATTACACGTTATCAACAATGAAGGACCATCCGAGTGGTATGTGGAACAGCTCGGGCATTGGCCCTCCCCACCCCTACTGCTCTCACCTTCACCCCTTCAATCAGCCTGCCAGGCATGCTCCCAACGTACGTCCGCCTGTGCCCTCTGATATCCGCCTCGTCCTTCACCCCTCCCAGCGCTATCCTCACAGGCTTGTGCACGAAAGCCAAGGGACCCCTCACCTTCCCCTGCTCTCACCTTCACCCCTTCAATCAGCCTGCCAGGCATGCTCCCAACGTACGTCCGCCTGTGCCCTCTGATATCCGCCTCGTCCTTCACCCCTCCCAGCGCTATCCTCACAAACTTGCGCCCAAGGGCCTTGGCGATAGAGGAGACCAGGGAAGTCTTGCCCACGCCAGGGGGTCCCACGAAGCACAGCACAGGGCCCGTGGCGTCAGGCTTGAGCTGGAGGGTAGAAAGGGGGGGGAGACACAACATGGTGGCATGGTGGGCCTTGGCGATGGAAGAGACCAGCGAGGTCCTTGCCCACGCCAGGGGGTCCCACGAAGCAGAGGACAGGGCCCGTGGCATCAGGCTTGAGCTGGTGAATGGGGATGGGCACACAGGGGTTGCCAAGTTAAGTCACAAGAGGCAGCTATCCGCACAAACTTGCATCCCAAGGACCTTGGCGAAAGAGGAGACCAGGGAAGTCTTGCCCACGCCAGGGGGTCCCACGAAGCAGAGGACAGGGCCCGTGGCGTCAGGCTTGAGCTGGAGGGTAGAAAGGGGGGGGAGACACAACATGGTGGCATGGTGGGCCTTGGCGATGGAAGAGACCAGCGAGGTCCTTGCCCACGCCAGGGGGTCCCACGAAGCAGAGGACAGGACCCGTGGCGTCAGCTTTTGAGTCGACTCAAAACCAGGGGGCCCCACGAAGCACAGCACAGGACCCGTGGCGTCAGGCTTGAGCTGGTGGGGAGGAGAGGAAGAGAGGAGAGGAAGAGAGAGAGGAAGAGAGGAGAGGAAGAGAGGAGAGGAAGAGAGGGAGAGAGAGAGAGGAGAGGAGAGGAGAGAGGAGAGGAAGAGAGGAGAGGAAGAGAGGAGAGGAGAGAGAGGAGAGGAGAGGAGAGAGGAGAGGAAGAGAGGAGAGGAGAGAGGAGAGGAAGAGAGGAGAGGAAGAGAGGAGAGGAAGAGAGGAGAGGAAGAGAGGAGAGGAAGAGAAGAGAGGAGAGGAGAGGAAGAGAGGGAGAGGAGAGGAGGAGAGGAGAGAGGAGAGAGAGGAGAGGAGAGAGGAGAGGAAGAGAGGAGAAGAGGCAGACACAAGGTGGGTAAGACACATGCTTGCGCCCCAGGGCCTTGGCAATAGAGGAGACCAGAGAGGTCTTGCCCACGCCAGGGGGACCCACGAAGCAGAGGACAGGACCCGTGGCGTCAGGCTTGAGCTGATGTTTAGAGGACAGGGGAACGGGGAAGATGGGAGGAGGCAAGGAGATGAGGGAGACACAAACCTGGATCCCAGGGCGTAGGCGATAGAGGAGACCGGAGAGTTCTTGCCCACCACCACCAACATAGCAGAACCAGCATCAGCAGCATTCCTTACCTCACCCAAGTCGCCACACCCCACCACACCCCACCTCACTATACCCCACTGCACTCCACTCACCTTCCTGACGGCGATGTACTCGAGAGAATGCGCTGCTTCACCCTCTCCAGCCCAAGCAGCACCACCAGCAGCAGCAATAGCAGCACTCCTTGCCCTTAGCACTAACCTAGTTCACCGCACCCAACCCCTCCGCACCCCACCACACTCCACTCACCTTCCTGACGGCGATGTACTCGAGAGAATGCGCTGCTTCACCCTCTCCAGCCCAAGCAGCACCACCAGCAGCAGCAATAGCAGCACTCCTTGCCCTTAGCACTAACCTAGTTCACCGCACCCAACCCCTCCGCACCCCACCACACTCCACTCACCTTCCTGACGGCGATGTACTCGAGAGAATGCGCTGCTTCACCCTCTCCAGACCAAGCAGCAGCACCACCAGCAGCAATAGCAGCACTCCTAGCCCTTAGCACTAACCTAGTTCACCGCACCCAACCACTCCGCACCCCACCGCACTCCACCGCACTCCACCACACTCCACTCACCTTCCTGACGGCGATGTATTCGAGAATGCGCTGCTTCACCCTCTCCAGCCCAAAGTGCTCCCTGTCCAGCTGCTCCCTCGCTGCTGCCACGTCTATCAGCGCGCTGCTGCTGCTGCCACCAGTAGAACCACCACCAGCAGCAGTAATGGGAGACGAAATTCCCCAGGGGAGGTCGCTGAGAAGCTCCAGGTACTGCCGGGTTGTGCTGTAGCCCGGCTGCTGCGGCTGCATCTTGCGAAGCCGCCTGTAAAGGGGTTAAAGCACACGAGTTGAAGAAGCCGAGATGAATAGATCAACTAGGTTGTTCAGTCGGTAAATTTGAGAAGGAAGGCCTTTGAGTGAGAAGGCCTTTGAGAAGGCTTCTGAGAAGATTTCTGAGAAGATTTCTGAGAAGATTTCTGAGAAGATTTCTGAGAAGATTTCTGAGAAGATTTCTGGTGGTCTGGTAGAACCGATTGACTTACGTTGTGGTTGCTGCAGTTGCGGCCTAGGATGACAATATGAAGGGAATATAAAGGAAATATACATCTGGGTCTTCCCTCACCGCTAAGTTCAGTTTAAAACGTCCTAACCCCAACCCCATAAGTGCCCGATAAGGGGCTGATAAGGTGCTGACAGGGGGCCAATACGGGCCGACAAGCGGCCGATAGGGGGCCATAAGGGACCCATATGGTAGGAGCTCGGAACCACTGAGGCCATTCTTCCCCACCTTCCCAACCACTGTGGCCATTCCTCCCAACCTCCCCAACCACCTCACTTGAGTTCGCGCCGCACGTGGTGCCACACATCAGATCTTCACCTCCTTCATTCAATCACGCGCCTCCCAAGTCTCAAGCACTGCCCCCCATCTCTCAGAGCTCGGCTGTCGCAGATAGGACCACGGAACCACAGTTCCCCATTTACTAACTTGAGTTCGCGCCGCACGTGGCGCCACACATTGGCCGACATCTTCACCTCCTTCACTCAATCATGCGCCTCCCAAGTCTCAAGCACTGCCCCCCATCTCTCAGAGCTCGGCGGTCGCAGTGCCCCCCATTTACTAACTTGAGTTGGCGGCGCAACTGACTTTTGAGAATTCTCAAAAGTCACACGAATATAACTGTCGCAGATAGGTCGTTTTTGAGGCGCCTCAAAAACGATTCTCAAAAGTCACACGAATATAACTGTCGCAGATAGGACCTCGGAACCACAGTGCCCCTTTTACTAACTTGAATTCGCGACGCAACCGTGTCCCCCCCATGTACTTACTCGAGCTCGCGCGTAACATGGTGCCACACGTTGGGGGGATCTTCACCCCCTTGCTTCATGCGTTCAGGACTCTATCAAGACCCACTAGGTGAGGCTTCAACAACACCAGGTACCAAGACCACCGTGTCCCCCCCATGTACTCACTCGAGCTCGCGCGTAACATGGTGCCACACGTTGGGGGGGATCTTCACCCCCTTGCTTCATGCGTTCAGGACTCTATCAAGACCCACTAGGTGAGGCTTCAACAACACCAGGTACCAAGACCACCGTGTCCCCCCATGTACTCACTCGAGCTCGCGCGTAACATGGTGCCACACGTTGGTGGGGATCTTCACCCCCTTGCTTCATGCGTTCAGGACTCTATCAAGACCCACTAGGTGAGGCTTCAACAAAACCAGGTACCAAGACCACCGTGTCCCCCCCATGTACTCACTCGAGCTCGCGCGTAACATGGTGCCACACGTTGGTGGGGATCTTCACCCCCTTGCTTCATGCGTTCAGGACTCTATCAAGACCCACTAGGTGAGGCTTCAACAACACCAGGTACCAAGACCACCGAGCCACAGTTCGCACCGCACGTGGTGCCACACGTTGGGAGGCATCTTGACCTCCTTCATTCATGCGCATCTCAAGTCTCAGACACCGCCTCCCATCATCACCCAGAGCCTTCCTGTCGTAGAAAGGACCTCAGAGCCACAGTTCCCCATCTACTCACTTGAGTTCGCACCGCACGTGGCGCCACACGTTGGGAGGCATCTTCACCTCCTCCATTCATGCGCCTCTCCAGCACTTTATCCCCTATCCCCCAGAGCTTGCCTGTCATAAGTAGGGCCTCAGAGGAGCCACAGTGCCCCATTCACTCACTTCAATTCATGTCACGTTGGGTGGCATCTTCACCTCCTTCATGCACCGCTCAAGCACTTCATCCCCTATCCCCCAGATCATACCTATCATAGTTAAGGCCTCAGAGGAGCCACAGTGCCCCATTCACTCACTTCAATTCACGTCGCACGTGGCGCCACACGTTGGGCAGCATCCCTGCCTCCTTCATTCATGCGCCGCTCAGCACTTTATCCCCTATCCCCCAGAGCTTGCCTGTCATAAGTAGGGCCTCAGAGGAACCACAGTGCCCCATTCACTCACTTCAATTCATGTCACGTTGGGTGGCATCTTCACCTCCTTCATGCGCCGCTCAAGCACTTTATCCCCTATCCCCCAGATCATACCTATCATAGTTAAGGCCTCAGAGGAGCCACAGTGCCCCATTCACTCACTTCAATTCACGTCGCACGTGGCGCCACACGTTGGGAGGCATCTTCACCTCCTTCATGCGCCTCTCAAGCACCGCCACGTCATCATCATCGTCATCATCCTCCTCCTCCTCTTCCTCCCCCTCCTCACCATCCCCTGCCGCCCCCCCACGCTCCTTCCCCTCACCTCCACCACTGCCCTTTCCTTCAGAAGTGGCAGAAGAGGAGGAGGGGGGAGGGGGGCCGAGCTGCAGCGAAGGGGGCTTGGTGGCAGAAGAAGAGGGTTTTTTCTTCTTGCCGCCACTGCTGGCTTGCTGCACCAGGCGAAGCTTCTGCGATAATAGGGAGAGAAAAGGGGAAAAATGCAGAATTGATTCATCATCGTCATCATCCTCCTCCTCCTCCTCCTCCTCCCCCTCCTCACCATCCCCTGCCGCACCCCCCTCCTTCCCCTCACTGTCACCACTGCCCTTCCCTCCAGAAGAGGCAGAGGTAGAAGAGGAGTGGGGAGGGGGGCCGACTTGCAGAGAGGGGAGTTTGGAGGAAGAAGGGGGCTTCTTCTTCTTGCTGCCAGTGCTGCTGGCTTGCTGCGCCAGACGGAGCTTTCGAAACAGGGGGCGGAGGAATGACGACGGAATCAATGAGTCAGGAGCTGGTTTTTGAGAATTCTCAAAAACCAACTCGAAACAGGGGGCGGAGGAATGACGACTGAATCAATGAGTCAGGAGCACGGAACAAGGAGGGGGAGGGAGTCAGTCACCACTGACTCTTCCTGCTGCCGCTGTTGCAAACCCTCTGTCCCCGCCGATTATTACCTCCAGTCCAGGTGCAGGGCGATCAAGGCAGCAGCGAGCTGCAGCCTCATTCGTGTTTCGAGACGTCTCAAAACATCACAGCATCCAGCATCGCCAGGCGCGCTGCCAGCCCGCCATCAAGTCCACCAGTCAGTCCGCCAGGCACTACATCAGTGTACCCTTCTCATACACACCCCACTTCCCCCCATAGGCATACCTCCACGCCTCCATACCTCCAGGTGCAGGGCAATCACAGCAGCGGCGAGCTGCAGCCTCATCCGTGGGTTCACCGCATCCAGCCCACTCTAAACCCCTTCCAACCCTCCCAACCCTTCCAAACCGCACTCTCCATGCCTCCAGGTGCAGGGAGATGATGGCACCAGCGAGCTGCAGCCTCATCCGTGGATTCACCGCATCCAGCATCGCCAGGCGCGCTGCCAGCCCGCCCTCCACGCTGTCATTCACCACACCACACTCATCCCTTCCAACCCTTCCAACCCTTCCAAACCGTACTCCAAACCACACTGGAAGTACCTCCAGGTGCAGGGAAATAATAGCAGCAGCGAGCTGCAGCCTCATCCGCGGGTTCACCGCGTCCAGCATCGCCAGGCGCGCTGCCAGCCCGCCCTCCACGCTGGCCACGAGCATATCTGCCAGCCTCTGCATCTCCCCGGCCGATGCCTGCTGGGACTCTGCTGCTACTTTTCTCAGCCCTGTCACCTGCCGCTGCTTCTCCTGGAAAGGGAATTGTGAGGGAAAGGGAAAGAAGCCAGTGAGTAGGCAAGAAATCAAGCAAGAGAGCTCCCAGCCCGCCCTCCACACTGGCCACGAGCATATCCGCCAGCCTCTGCATCTCCCCAGCTGATGCCTGGTGGGACTCTGCTGCCACCATGCGCAGCCCTGTCACCTGCCGCTGCTTCTCCTGGGATGGAGGGGGGGGCAAAGGGATGGGTAAGGAGAGAGGGGGAAGGGAAGCAAGCAAGAACATGTGTGAGTGAGCTGCCAGCCTACCAGCACGCCCTCAACGCTGGCTATGAGCTATTTGCCAGCCTCTGCATCTCCCCAGCTGACGAGTGGTGAGCCTCTTCTGCCACTTTCCTTCCGTAGTCCTGTCACCTGCCGCTGCTTCTCCTAACAGGTGGGAGGGGAGAGACGGGCGGGACGACGAGGAGTGAGTTTTGAGTCGACTCAAAAGTCACCTCGTTACTATGGCACCCTGTCACCTGCCGCTGCTTCTCCTAACCGGTGGGAGGGGAGAGACGGGCGGGACGACGAGGAGTGAGGAGGGTATGTTGAAATTTTGGAATCAGGCCAATAACCCCCATTGGCAGTGAATGGTGCATCTCTCTAATGCCTCCCCGCTTAGCCCTGACGCCTGCCACCGCTTCTCCTGGGAGCTGCTGAAAGCCCCACTCTCGCTCACCTGCTCCATCACCCTCGCCAGCGCCTCCACCACTCGCAGCAGCTGCCTTCCCAACCGCTGCACTGCACCTCCTATAAGCCTCTTTCAACTGCCCCAACGGAATCCAAACCCCTCTCTCTCACCTGCTCCATCACCCTCGCCAGTTCCTCCACCACTCGCAGCAGCTGCCTTCCCAGCCGCCTCACCTCGTCCTCGAGGTGTCATTTGAGTCGACTCACACATCACTTCCTTTCAAACCACAACTCTTGACTCAGTAAGTAGAGCAGCAGAAAGTGTGTTCACTTCAACAAGCTCTCACCTGCTTCACCCTCGCCAGTTCCTCCACCACTCGCAGCAGCTGCCTTCCCAGCCGCTTCACCTCGTCATCAAGGTGCCTTTTGAATTGACTCACAAGTCACCTACTCACCTCAAATCAGACCCTAAGCCTCTCTCCTCTCACTCACCTGCTCCATCACCCGTGCTAGCTCCTCCACCACTCGCAGCAGCTGCCTTCCCAACCGCCTCACCTCGTCATCCCCTCTCACACGGTCCGCCTCTGTGGGTTTGAGGAGGGGAGGATAGACGGAAGGGCTGTGGTGAAATGGATGTGAGTCGGTGACACACAATCAGCCCAGAAAACAATATGCTCCCCTTCCCTCTTTACCTTCCCGCCAGTGCTTCTCACCCTGGGGAGTGGCATCGAGTTGAGACACCCCAGCCACGTGGTATGGCCCTCGCGAGTTGATTGAGAGGATAGCAAAGCGACACACGCCCTGGAGGTACGAGGTGCGGGGGTGGAGAGGGGCACGAGAGGGTGGGGGTAGAGGCGAAAGTTAGCTTTAAGATGTATCGAGACCCGAGCCACGTGGTAGGGCCCTCGTGGGTTGATGGAGAGGATGGTAGACTTTTGAGTCGACTCAAAAGCCACGAGGTATGGCCCTCGCGAGTTGATGGAGAGGATGGCAAAGCGACACACGCCCTGGAGTCAATGAGAGGGAAAGAGAGGGGTTAGTGGCGGGGGTTTAAAGAGGTTGGTGATTTTTAGGGGAGTCCGACCTGAACAAGGACTTCAATTTTTTAGAATTCTCAAAAACTCCCTGACAGGGCCCAGTTTTGAGGCGCCTCAAAACGAGAATTCTCAAAAACGAGAATTATAAAAAACGAGAATTCTCAAAAACTTCCTGACAGGGCCCTCGCAAGCTGATGCAGAGAATGGCAACGCGCTTCTGGGTATTTTTGAGAATTCTCAAAGCCAGTCACATTTTTGTCCTGCAGAGCCATGTCACATTTATTGGCTGGAACCAGTATGTTGTAGTTATCAGCTTAAGGTCAACTCACTCTCCTGCAGCAGAACTGCATAGGTCACCTGGGCCTCTCCACTCCCTTAATGGCATGCCACATACCGCCTGCACCAGTTAAAGACCTAGCTAAATCAGTTATCAACACAAGTTCATCTCACCTGCAGCACGACCGCATAGGTCACCCAGCATGTGGGCCTCTCCACACCCTTGTGTTCAGGCATGTCAGGTACCACCTGCACCAGTCAGAACCCACCCACATGTATCCATATAATTCATCTCACCTGCAGCACCACCGCATACGTCACCCGGCCTGTGGGCCTCTCCACGCCCTTAGCCACATGCAGCGCTCGTGCTGCCACGCCCCTGGTGAGAGAAGGGGGCGAGCAGGGACAAAAGTAGAAAGAGGGATAGAGGTTGGGCTTGCAGAGAGTGCCAACGGGGGAGAAGGGAGAGAGTGCGAACGGGGGAGAAGGGAGGGCCTCTTTCCACACCAAGTCACCCAGCCTGTGGGCCTCTCCACGCCCTTAGCCACATGCAGTGCTCGTGCTGCCACGCCCCTGGGGAGCGAGAAGGGGCAGGGGCAAAGAAAAGGGGGGAGGTTGAGGTTGCATTGCAAGGAGCTTAGAAAGGAGAGTTTAGAGGTCACAGAAACCCACTAGGGAGTTTCTGTGAGGGGTTCAGGTCTTCCAGCGGCAGCCTCCTGAGCTGGTTTTTGAGAAATCTCAAAACCCAGCTTGTTGTGAGGGGTTCATGTCTTTCAGCAGCAGCCTCCCCGTGAACCCCTCGCTGACTGCAAGCATTCAGCTGCACCACTCCTCCTCCTCCCTCCCCCTGAGCTGCAAGCATACAGCAATCAGCTGTACCGTACCGGACCTGGCAGCACCTGCAGCCACAGCCACCCAGCCCACCTGGGGTGCCAGTTCACATCTTCCAGCAGCAGCTTCGACGTTTCCCCCCCGTCACACCCTCCCACACTGACTGCAAGAGTTCCTCTGCACCACTGTACCATACCTTGACTTGAAGCAGCTTAAACCCAACCCAACCCACCTGGGGTGCCACTTCACGTCTTCCAGCAGCAGCCTTGGCGTTCCCCCTGCCATCTCCTCTGGCCCGCTGGGCCCCCACACGCGCACTACCGCCTTTCCCTCACCGCTACTAGTAGGCGCCCCTTCCCCACCCCCTGCCTTCTCCCCAGTCCCTCCTGTTCCTCCGGTTCCTCCTTCCGCGTTTCCATCACCGCCATTAGCAGCTCCGTTACTAGCAGCAGCACCGCTAGCAGCAGCACCACTACCAGTGCTATCCGCGGAAGCAGGAGGCTCTATAACGGGTACGATTCCAATCAGCGCGGGCTTATCCTTCTGCCACAGCTCCTGCTCCACCAACCGCACGCTGCCACGTGGAGGGGCAAAGGGGAACACGGGAAAAGACTCAGACGAGGGAGAATGGGTGGGACGGAGGACCCTCACGTACTGTCCCTGATACGCTGCAACCTCAGGAGGTCGTTTTTGAGGCGCCTCAAAAACGACCTCAATGCACGTGGGACGGAGGACCCTCACGTACTGTCCCTGATACGCTGCAACCTTAGGACGACTCTCCTATCTACCTGCTGGGGTCAGAGCACGTGATTCGGATGATAGCCCCCGGCAGCAGCGCACGGTTGCGGGCTCTACCTACCAAGTACAGCAGTACGAGATTCGCACACAGACCGCACCGACGACTGTACCTAAAAGGCAGTACCTGTAGGGGTCGGAGCAGGTGATACGGACGATGGCGCCCGGCAGAAGCACGCGGTTGCAGGCTCTACCTACCAAGTACAGCAGTACGAGATTCGCACACAGACCGCACCGACGACTGTACCTAAAAGGCAGCAAATGTTGGGGTCCGCTCTGGCTTGGCAGCGACCGTACCCCAACACGTCAATGGTGGAGGGCATCACGTGATGCGGACAATGTCTGACCACTCTGGCTTGTCTTGACTGGATCCAGATAGTCTCGTCTCTGCGGTCTTGTGTAGAGAGGGTGTTTTTGAGACGTCTCAAAAACACCCTCTCTACACGATGGGGACGATGTCTGGCCACTCTGGCTTGTCTTGACTGGACCCAGATAGTCTCGTCTCTGCGGTTAACACGTTCAACCTACACGATAATATACCACCTGCTGGGATCGGAGGACGTGATTCGGACACTGGCCCCCGGCAGCAGCACACAGTCACAGCTGCACCGACTAGGCACCATGTACCAAGCTCACACTACACCCTCTCGACGATTCCACCCGCCTGCTGGGGTCGGAGCATGTGATTCGGACACTGGCCCCCTTCAGCAGCACACATTCACAGCTGCACCGACTAGGCACCATGTACCAAGCTCACGCTACAACCTCTCGACGACTCCACCCGCCTGCTGGGGTCGGAGCACGTGATTCGGACACTGGCCCCCAGCAGAAGCACACAGTTGCAGGCTCTACCTGCTGGGCAAAGCGGCACGAGATGCGCATGGTGACCTGCAAAGATGACTGGACAGACTAGGCAGTGCCTGCTGGGATGATCGCAAGCGCGAGATTCCAACAATGGCGCTGGGACGAATCACGCCGTTGCGGAACGGCAGGATGGCCACGGCTTGTCTTGAGTGGACCCAGAAAGTGTCTGCGGAACACGTTCAACCTACACGAAAAGGTATTACCTGCTGGGGTCGGAGCAGGTAATGCGGACGATGGCCCCCGGCAGAAGCACGCGGTTGCGGTACGGTAGGATGGCCAGCAGCTCTGACCAGCCGCTCTGACCAGCCGCTCTGACCAGCCGCTCTGACCAGCCGTTCTGACCAACTGCTCTGGCAGCTCCACGCACAGCGGATACTCATGTGCTACCCCCGATACATAGTACTACACCCTCATTCCCCTCCACCCACCTGCTAGGATCGGAGCACGTGATGCGGACGATAGCCCCCGGCAGCAGCACGCGGTTGCGGAACGGCAGGATGGCCAGCCGCTCGGGTAGCTCCACGCACAGCGGATCCTCCCCCGCCGTGCCTCCATCCGACGCCATTTTTTATGGAAAAGCGAACAGCCGTCCTACTGTGGTCGAACGCCCGGTCCTTGGAACCTCGACGAGCAACGCGGTGAAGCGCGACGAAGAATGCGAAAACGCACCGAAGAATTCGAAACGCGCCGAAGAATGCGAAACGCGACGAAGAATGCGAAACGCGGCGGCGAACAAGCTGAACGCGACGCGACGCTCTCTCACGGCGTCTCTGGCGGTCAGCTGCTGGGTCAGTGAACAAAATAACGACCAAGCGAGCTGGATTAAGGACCAAGGGAGCTGAATCCACAGCTAGGCTGGACCAGACCCATGGCCCGGAGCAGTATTCCAACCTCGGTCCGTCACCAGCTAACGGTCAGACGAGACGGCCTCCTGAAATTCCGTCTACCTCGCTGACGCTACGTACGTACTGTCTCCCTCTGTGCTAGCACTGGAGAGAGAAAATGCGGCGAGAAAGAGGCTCAGAACTAAACGTTCAGGACCTTTGCAGGGCGTCAGATTCTGAACCTGCTCTGACTCCACCACAGTCGCCCAGCACAGTGTGGGATGACAGGACAACTGGGACAAGCCAGCCGCCTGCCAGGTTTCGAGCTTGGTCGGTTCAACCAGAGCCTTCCTGCAAGAGCTACTACCGCCTGAGCCTGAGGGAGATTTGCTTAGCTCCGTCAGGAAATGCGGTTCAAGAGCAGCACGAGCTTATCCGCTACTCGTAGTGGCGGCTCGAGAAAGCGGCGGTTTCGATGCTATCTGTGCCCCATCAAAAGTGCTGGTGACGGGGACGGGACCTGGAGGGTAGTTAGAGGTTTTAATCGCGGTGATCCACGGTTAAGGGTGTGACCTTTCCTGCGGTGGTCCCCACCCCACGTCAGCTCCAGCACGAAGCATTGTGGAACCTGTCTCTGTTTGAAACCAGCAAGCGCATGGAATGAACGGGTCTTCACACTCTTGGGTGATCCGCAAAATTCTTGATGGATTCTAGTACAGCTATTGTACATGTCCGTGTTGATTCTCTTTTGACAGGCCTTCGTGCTTCACCTGAAAAACACAGAAATCGTGCAGAGTGAATCAACGCTTAGTAAACCAGCATTGGAGCTCGAACTTGATCGAACTTCTGTAAATACCACCTCCCGAGTCCCCTGGATTGCTAAAAAACCTCTGAAACTCGCGGAGTTCAGATTGTGGAGTGTCTGGTGGGTGGTAGAAAGCCCATCTAGGCACGCCACGCAGCCTGGTGGTAGACATATTCGGAGCGCGCTTCCAATCAAATGCGTGAACAAGTCTGCAGGTCAGTAGCTTTTTACACACGATGCCCGGTTGAGCCCCCCGACCTTGCCTCTCTCTCTGGGCTTTTAAGTGATTTTGGATTTCGACTGGATTTCGTCAATTCGCACTTAGCAAAAATGGGCTTATAAAAGGGCAGATGGAGAATTGTAACTAAGCGTTGACAATTTGACCCCGGTCTCTTCAGTTTGGGGTGCTTGTAGATGGGGTGCAACTGGCTGGCACAAAATACACGGGTGCAGGGTTTCCATCCTGCGCAAGGCAAATTCGCGTGCACTGGTTGGGCATCGTGTGTACCAAAAACCGCGTCAGCTCCACGAAATTCCAGATTCCGATTGCCCAATAAGGCGTTCCGAACCGGAGACATCACCTTTGGATTGCGTGGCTTCCAGACCTTCTGACGTGGCCTGATCAAGGTGGTCCCTCCAGCCCACCTGGATGGACCCTGTCAGAACGTTTTCTACTTTAAGCAGTGACTTTTTTTCAAAACTATAGTCAGTCGTTGTTTTTTGACGAATTTCTCAATAATGGCTAATTACAAGAAAAGCTGCATCCTCCTGCCATTTCGACCGTTGTATGCGCCGTGTTCTGCAGGGAGGACAAATACACCCTGTTTCTGCTATGGTGAAATCTGGTATACCGACCATGTGGCTCAACGCGCCAAATTACGCGCTATAATCAACTTTTGCACCAGTTCGGTTTGACGAGGTCAGCTACCTTTGAAGACGGTCAGTTGATATTTTAATATGGCTCGGTAGGGTACCCAGGTTAACGAAATTTCGGATCACCCGCCTCCTAGAGACGGTTATTGTAAACTTTTCGAATGCGTCCAAGGAACAGCTCCACTGTTCAGTGTATTTCCGCAGTTCAGTGTAGCGAGAAACAGGGTGTAACTCTAGATGCACAAAGCAGATCTAAAAAGGATTCCATATTGTGCACCGCAGCGACACTCGCGGCTGGTCAAAAGGCGGCTCGGCTGAATGAATCCGAGACCAGAGTCGTTCAGAGCGTAATAGGCTGATTCTTCCTGAGTCGATTCAGAAATCACATGCGATTCGGTCGAATGGAAGTGAGACCACCAGAGACGATCCGAGCGACGTAGGCTAAGCGGAACGTTGTAGTTTATTTTTTTTAGTCGCCTCAAGGAACGAATCGCCTCTAGAGTTATGGCTACCGCGGGAGCGGAACGCGGCGCGGTTGAATGAAGAAGGATACGGCAGGCGACCGGAACGTCGTGGGCCGGCTGGAACGGAACGCATGTGAAATATATCGCGATTCGAAGTCGCAAGGCCATGTTTAGCTCGGCGGTGAGATTGCCCGATAGACAGGGAAGGAGTGTAACGCCATAGGTTGACCGGAGGGGATCGCTCTAGAGAGTAAAACGCGCCTCCAACACGCAAGACCATGTTTAGCACGGCAGCGCGGTTGACGGAGAGACAGGGGAGGAGCGGCACGTCGCGACTCGAGTACCTTCAGGTAGGCTTCGTTAGCATTTTACTCTGTAATCGTGTGTTCTTTCTCCATGGCGCTCCGCTTTCGCCGTCCTCTCGCGACTCGTGGGGGCAAGCGTGAACCATCAAGCTCATCAGCATCGAGTTGATTTTTGAGGCGCCTCAAAAATCAACTCAATTTGCGTGAACCATCAAGCTCATCAGCATCAGGCGTGAGACAACCCATGGTGTCTGTTCACCACCCAAGCAAACAACCAGTTCCCTCCCCATCACTTTGAAGCCGTGTTTTGAGTCGACTCAAAACACACCAAAACACATGTTGAGTCGACTCAATACACACCTCATCACCATCGGGCGTGAGACAACCCATGGTGTCTGTTCACCATCCAAGCAAACAACCCATCACTTTCCCGTTACACTCGCGGTTCTGTTGTTCCACTCTTCCCTCTTCCCGTGTGTGAGCAGGCGCTTGTCACTGAGTTCCAGACCACTGAAAACGAAGGTGAGACGACGTTTCCAGGTATTATGTTGTTCACAAAGGCACATGCCCCCCCCCCCACCCCCCCCCCCCCCCCCCCATGCCCCCGTTCTTCCTCCACCTTTCCTCACGCACACAGCACGTACGATCCCTTGCCTCCCTCCCATTGCTAGCAGAAGCTAAGGAGCAGATCGTTGCTAATCTAGCCAATTTCGCCTACGACCCAATCAATTATGATTACATGCGCAAGGTGTGAGTGGTTGATGCTGTCTGGGTGTGACTTAGTTAAGACGTCAACTCCCAAAGCTAACCTGGCCAATTTCGCCTATGACCCAAACAACTAAGATTACCTGCGCAAGGTGATTATGGCTGTGTGGGTGTGACTGTATCGAAATTGTGTGACTGTGTTGAGACTGTGCGACTATATCAAAAGCAATCTGGCAAATTTCGCCTTTGATCCGATCAACTACGATTACCTGCGCAAGGTGATCAATCGCTGGTGTGTTGGTTTGTCTGTTTTTATAGGTGTGATTGTAATGAGACTTCTTAGAGCTAGAGTTTCCCAACCCAGCCATTTCGCCTATGACCCAGTCAACTACGATTATCTGCGCAAGGTGATTGATAGTAGCTGGGTGGTGTGATTGGGTGGTGTGACTTCAAGATGACTCGAAGCATAGCTAGCAATGCTGCCTTTGAACTGATTGTATCACGTCGTAATAAAAAATTTACACGGTAGAGGTGGGTGTACCACTCGCTACATGCGTGGGTGTGACTGTACCTGCATACCTGCATGGGTGTGGCTGTACCAGCATGGATGTGCCTGTACCAGCATGGGTGTGGCTGTACCAGCATGGGTGTGGCTGTACCAGCATGGGTGTGGCTGTACCAGCATGGGTGTCACTGTATTTGTTCGAATGCAGAGTGTGTGCTGTTCTGCACTTCATTCAGAGTTTGAGGCCATGCATAAACATTTCACCTTGCCTTTCAACCCCTTCCGTCTGTTCTCCCCTCCTCTCCTCTCCCTGCGACTGCATCTCCTGTGCCGTTCCTTCCTCCTTCGCTGTGCCATATCCATTCTTCTCCTGTGTTCCATCTGTTCTCCCCTCCACTCGAAGCCCAGCTGAACGTGTTAGGGCTATTTCTTGACTGTCTGACGGAGGAGAATGCTAAGCTAGTTGACTTCGGGATGGGAGGGCTGTGTAATTCCGCCGCAGGTGCGAGCACTCTGTGCCATTTCACCCGACTCCTGATGAATCAAGCCCAGCTTAACGTGCTAGATCTTTTTCTTGACTGTCTGACTGAGGAGGAGGACAATGCATTGTCAGCTAGTTGACTTTGGGATGTTAGGGCTGTGTAATGCCGCCGCAGGTGAGGAAGCGTGGATGAGCGAGAACCTATAAATGGATTTTCACTCTAAGCCCACAACAAACAGCCTTGAGAAAAAACGGATTTGCCACTCCACAGCAGTTTATCTAATAGGATAAACTTAATATGGATAATGACTAACTGGTTATTGTGTTGTTCATTTGCTTTCATGGCCCTGAACCCTTCCTCACTTACACCAGATACAGCCAACGCATCAGCGATTGCCTCTGCAGACAACATCCCCCTTATAGTAGATTGCTTATCGAGTCCAGTTGAGAGTACTGTACGTTATGGCATGCACTCAAGTTGATAGCTAACATCAACATCAGTACAGCTCAGTATATTTGTCATCATGGTCTTGTCTGCATTCTTTCCCTTCGGTTATGCTCTTCAAGATTGTGCATGTCTGTGTTCTAGTTTGCCTAGCCGGCCTTGTCTCAAACTCTTGACTCTCTCTCTCTCTCTCTCTCTCTCTCTCTCTCTCTCTCTCTCTCTCTCTCTCTCTCTCTCTCTCTCTCTCTCTCTCTCTCTCTCTCTCTCTCTCTCTGTCTTCCTTCTGTCTATTACTGTTCATACAGTGTCTTTGTTCTCTGTGATTGTTGTACGTGCCTCCTCCTGTCGCTTGATCTCTTCCCCTCCGTTGGCCTCTCCTCCAGGTCTTGTCTGCGCTTGCCTGCCTTTACTACATTCACACTCCTCGCACCTGATCACGCATGTCTTTTCAGGCGCCTCAAAACTCCTATGGCTTGATTTTCTCCCATCTGTACCCCTCTCCAGGTCTTGTCTGCGCTTGCCTGCCTTTACTACATTTGCACTCCTCGCACCCGATCGTGTATGTATGTATGTATGTATGCAAATGCTAAACCATCCATGCACCAGTATAAGTAAACATCCATTCCACTGCCTGGCTATGGTAGTGTTTTTTTGCACAAATGAAGTTTTCAACGTTCACTATTTTCATCCCCATGTATTTCCCTGCATATTTGACAGTAATTTTGACTCCCAGCCTACTTGAACGCATCAACTGCTTTGCTGCTGAATCCTGCCCAAATCCTCGCCTTCGCAATCTCGCCCTTTGCTTCAAGAGGCAACACGTAGGGCCAGCCTCTGCTCCTGCTGCTAGTGAATCACCAGCTTGGACTCGACAAAACTAGAGTGCATGATGTTGTGTATTTTGTTGCTAACAAAAATTGTAGTCTGAAAGCCATCATACTGTATATGGTACCTGGTCTTTTTGTAGCCGGTAGTTACCATTTTGTCGGACTCAAGTACTTTAGTCCTTGATGTTCCACTTTCTTAGTGACGAATGGGGCCTGCTATTTTGGGCAGTAGAAATCAAGAATCCTCGTGCTATCCAGTCGAATATGACATTTCTTTCCTGTCAAGTAGACTGTCTAGAAAGCATGTGTGCGTGCTGTTAGCGCGTACAACAAGGAATTCACCAGACTAGCAATCGGTCCTGCTTTTTCCTTGGAAGAGTTGACTACAGTAGTGACTTGAGCGGCAAGACCGACCAAGTCCATGACACGACCCGTCGCCTGCAGTCCTCACTTTCAACACTGGCACTGGTCGGTTGACTGGAACTGGCTTAAAAATAATCTCCATCAATGGAACATAAATACGTGCAACAAATTGGTGTTGGTTCTTCGAGAGAACGTGAGCCTCGATAGAACGCCTCGAACAAGACAGCCTCGAGATAACGTGAGCATTGACGAAAAGGGTTAGTTTCCTTGTCACAAATATTTCTTAGTTCCTCTGAAGTACCCGAGAACAATTGTTGGCGAGAGCTGTCATAGCTATATTGAGGCTCTTCTTTGCAAACATCGGTTTTATTTGTGATTCTTCCAGCGTTGCTGCGTGTTTGAGGCGGAGTTCCAGCCAGCACAACGACACCATCACAACATCATCTGCGCGAAGTATTTCGAAATGGGGTCAGAGGCGAACACAACATTTAACTCATCAATCCCCTCAACCTCTCCCATCCAATCCGACGCATCAGTCAGATCTAAACTTTCAGTTGCGCAGCATAACGACTGTGAGTGTGTGAGTTGCGCCTGGCGGAAATCAGCGAGGTCGTTTGATGGAATCCGCATCGCCTTGGTGTCTCTCTTCATCATCCTGGTGCTTATCTTTGTCATCGGCAATCAACAACAGACAATCCCGGGCTTCAAGGCAGCAGATCTACCAAGAAACCGGAGAATGAAAGTGACACAGGTCTCACCGGTTGATAAATTTGGGCGGTCAATCCGGGAGAATCGTTGGAGCGGAAAAACTATTTCCTTTCCTTCGAAGTTCAGTTTGACAAACCCCTTGCTGGTTTCCAAGCTTCTGGCTAACATACGAGCATTTTTTTGGCCCATCTGAACCCATTGACGCAGGAAAACTCTAGTAAAAAAACATCTAATATCGGCTAACCCTAGGGATGTGAGTTAGTGGACAGAGGAGCAGGAAACTCCTATGGTTGAACCTCGATGTTGCTGCTTGTTTCAGCTTCTGGTTTTGCAAAAATTGGTCTAGGATGGAGCACTTGGTTTCATCAAATTGCATCACCTACTCCTTCGCCAAACACCGTGAAGTGGTTACCTCTACTCATTTGCCTTATTTAACTCATTCTGGCGAATATCTTTTTGCTGTCTGCGAGCTCTGGCGAAGTCAGATCTGATTTCCAACTTTCGTGAGCATGACCACCCACGCTCTACCTCAAAAGCATACTCCGAGCTGGTGATCCAGTTATCTTATATTTCTCGTCTCCCACCAGACAATCTTGAGATGTTCTCGATGTCTTTCTCTGGGATATGTGCGTGGATCCTCTAAGCTCGATGTGGTTTCAAGGTTCTCTCTACCGTTCGACTAGCATGCGCGATTCAAGGTCGACAGAGTGTCCCTCGACCTTGAGAACTCTGGAATTGAAATCCCGAGACGAGAGCGAGGACAGAAAGTTTGCGCAGCAAGGGAAAATGGATCATACTAATGATCGAGCAAGCCCTTTTAGTGTTGCACCGTATCCTGTGAAGCCGCCTCGCCCTTGGCGTGGATAGCTCCTGACTTCAAGCCCTTTTAGTTCCATGGCGAAGAGCTTGAGGTCTCAAAAACGTCGGTCGTTTGTGCCTCATCATGTATGGGAAAGCCTCTGCACGCAGTACTTTCCCCCGTCAGACGTGATATCCTTTTCTCTTGTGTGCAAGGATTTCAAGAAAATCGCCTTCAGTCAGAGTGTGTGGAGAGAAAAATGCCAAAAACACTTCCCTTCATTGAAGACCGTCGACCTCATTAACGACTTTGATTACCGACGGCTTTTTGCGGCGTGCTGCTTCAGTTTCAATCCTTCCAATGTGCCTGATCTCTCCCCTCAAGTGGAAACGTCAGTGATACTCTTGGATATCAGATGCAAGGGGAGCAATGTCCTCTCTATAGTGCATCCACTTCTGAAGTGCAAAAGCCAAGAGTACGCGACTTTGACAGCTAATGTGACACCAGGTGCTGTGATGGCTCTGAATGGCAGCGAGCAGTGCGACATTGTTCAATATCTGGAGGCGAACATGACACTCACTTCTGCCATTTTCAATACATCGTCTCAGAAGCTGGCTCCACTGTTTGGGCTAAAAAACCACTTCACGTACGCCATGGAATCCAAGGAGCCCAACGTCTTCATGGTTTTGTGTAATCAAATGACCTGCGGGAATGGGGAACCCAGCTTCTTTTTCAGCCTCATGGAAATAGAGATCAGAGTTGGGCTTCAAGAGGGAAAGAAGACTTTCACACTTGAGAAATTCCAGGTTTCTGTTTGTAGTGGTAACCCAGTTAAAGGAGGCAGAGATCCACTGTCACTTGAGGAGTTGCTGACTAAGCTGAGATGGCATGATTGTGCTAGTGGCTGACACCATCTGAGCCTGCCAGCCACAATCTGAGCCTGCCAGCCACACTACCAGTCAACAAGGATGCTGGATATGGCATTTACTTCCAGTGGTTTGGATGGGAGCAGTATGCATTTTCTGCAGAATAGTCAGGATGATGGACTTTGGATCCCACTGGTAAAGTGGATGCATGGTTCTTCTCATGCTTTGCTTGAAGTTGATGCATGGTTCTCTATGCTTATTGTTCTGCCTGATCAGCAAACCATGCGAAGTTGCAACTTTGATGTGTAAATACGGTACCGTGCCATTACTGGATAAGGGTGAAAATGCAAGGCTGGTGGTGCGGTGGTACCCTTGCTAGATAAAGAATTCGACAAAAAACAGTGTGGGATGAAAAAGGTAGCAGAAAGATATTAAAAAAGAAGATGTGGCATGAAGGTGCAATGCCTGATAAGTGAATGGAGGGAAGAAAGAGGAAGCAGCTGGCGCAAGTATGGGGAGTGATAGCGAAGAGGAACAGAAAGGGGCGAGGAAAAAATAACAGGAGGGAAGGGAATGGGGAGAGGGAAGGAAATGGGGCGAGGGAAAGGGATGGGTCTAGGGGATGGACTAGGCGAGGAGGGGGTTGGATTGGAGGGAAGGGGATGGGCCAAGGGAAGGGAAGGAAAAGTGGGAAGGGAGGAATGAACGGAGAGAAAGGTAGAGAATGGAAGGAGGAACGTTCGCAATCTAAGGAGAAGTAGCGGGGGGTAAGAAAAGCAGGCGGTCTGTAGGGAGAGAATGATGGAGACTGGAAGTAGGGGGAGGGGAGTGAAGCCAGGAGCAATGGAGGGGGGGAGAAGCAGACTGTCTGAAGGAAGAGAATGATGGAGAATGGAAGGAGGAGAGATGGCGGGAGTGAAAAGAGAAGCAGAGCGAAATCAGGGGATACAGGAAGGAGGAAAAGGCCAGAAAGCGTCGGAGGAACACAAGAGGAGGTAAAGGAGGCCAGAAACGTTGAAGGAGAGGGAGAGGGAGCGGGAGAGGAAGAGGGGAAGGAAGACTACTGAGATGGTTGGAGACGGAGAAAGGGAGTGAGTGACAATGTGAGTGAGATGAGTAGAGGGAGGGACATGGTGCATTGTGGTCTCCGTTTGAAGGTGCATGTCATGGTACAAGTATAAATGACTGAGGAGGCCACGGCTGCATTCACACTCTAGGGCTTAGCGCCACAAAGCATGAAGCCTGGTGAGCAAAACACGCACTTAATAAAGCACTACAATGAAAAGGAAAGATACGAAGATTCAGAGAACATGAAATTGCTTTCGCTGAATTACAGAATTCTACAGGCATTAACGATTACAACAGCTTGGTCCCATCATCCTACCACTCCTCAGTAGCCATCAAGGGGAAGATCCGAGCCGTCCAATCCGAGCATCGCGGAAAGCGTCAGATACGTGACGTAAAACCCTCCTCCCAGCACCAGCACCACCAGAACCGCCGTCGTCGGTTTCTTAAAAAGCTCCACGATCGGCCTAACCAGGCTGTAAAGCCCTCCCGTAAAAACCGTGAAAAAGTAGATCACGAATCGGCCGACATTGTCCCAGAACTCGCTCATAAGCGGACCAGTGGGGATGAAAGCTAGGGTTGCAGTTGACCTCAACCCCAACGAAGAATGTAGGTCAAGCACGGACGATCCCAACGCGGCCGAGAGGAGAGACGAGGGTAAATCGGCTCCGCTTCCGCCGGCGGCGGCGGCGGTCGCGGCGGCTGCGTCGGCGGCTTCGGCGGGTCCCGCACCGGCGAATGTGATTAAAGCGGAGGTTCCAAGCGAAAGTGCTAGTACGGAAAGGAAGAAGTTGGAGGAATCTCTCTCTGCTGCCGCAATCTGCGGAAGGAAGGCGCGTTGCGAGGGTACTGCCGCAAGAGACGCTGGGGGCTTCGAAGCAGCAGAAGCTGCTTCAGAAGTCTGTGATTCCCGCTTGGAACACGCAATTGGTTCGTGAGACGCAACTATACGGCGACGAACCGATAGGCGGAACGGGGCGGGATTGC